GTTTGTGTGTGTGTGTGTGTGTGTGTGTGTGTGTGTGTGTGTGTGTGTGTGTGTGTGTGTGTGTGTTTTTTAAACTATTCTAGGGTTGAAATTAGGTCGAAATATTCCAGAGTTCTACGAAATCATAACAGCGCCAATCAGTAAGGTTTGTCATTATTTATTTAGCTGAATATTTATTACTGCCTGTAGGTGGCGTCATAACGCAGCTCATGTTTTCTCGTGTTAGATCCTTAATCGATGGTTTGAGTCGGAGCCCCTGAAAGCTACTCTGGCTACGGATGGTGTGATTGGAGCCATGACCAGTCCCAGCAATCCTGGCAGTGGGTGAGACAACATATTAACGAAATGGACACGCCCCAAAAGTTGGACAGTTTGGAGATGAGGACAAGTGTGGTAGATTAAGGAATGGCAAGATGGCCCTATTTGACTTGTTTAGGTTTCATTTGGCTCTTCTTATAAACAGTGTATGATCCAGTCGAGCCACTCTGAAAGGAATTTCACATGTACATGTTGTAGGTATGTGCTCTTGCATCACGTGATGGGAGAGTTGGAGAAGGCGAAAGGTGCCTGGGGTTACGTTGAAGGCGGCATGGGAGGCGTGTCTAAGGCTTTAGCCAACGCCGCCCGATCTTACGGCGCAGACATATTCACAGAAAAGGTCACCTGACAGAAAGGCATTCACCACTTATGCAAATGTGTCACGACTGCATAATTATCTCCAACTTTGATCTTGACTTGCAGGATGTAGAACATGTTCTTGTTGACTCGGATGGTGCTGCCAGGGGAGTTGTGCTGAAGGATGGCACAGAGATTCAGAGTAGAATTGTACTTTCAAATGCGACCCCTTATGTCACGTTCAAGAACCTCATGCCACAGGTTGAAAAAAAAATATTAAAAATTAGCAATAATAATGGCTGCACAAGATGAGGTTTTTTTTTCAATTTCCTGTTTTTTAAATTTTTTTATAGGGTGCCCTCTCTGCAGAGTTCTTGAAAGCTGTCGATCAGATCGATTATACCTCACCTGTCACCAAGATCAATGGTAAATAATATTTGGGCCTTTTATGATGCAACTGTCTAATCCACTGGAAATAAAACAATTAATTTCAAATAGAGTACAGTGGTTGTGTTACATATGGGTAGAATATAGCAAAATTATTTACACAGCAACGAACCATATTTGGAAATATTAGTCACAGTGGATGCCATTCACCATAAGCAACAGAAAGCATTCAATTTTCTGCACTTTGCCATTAGCTGAGAAAAGTAATAATAGAATGGAAATATTTCCCTTCGAAAAATTGACTACATTGATATATTGTAATAAATAAACATTACATTTTAATAGTGTATCGCTTTTGCCCAAATATTGAATTTTCAATTATTCAGTCTCAATACTTGCAAACCAATTTCATAAATGTTCCTCTCGGTTCGATAACTTCAACCACAGCGTTGAAACAGACTAATGAAGGCAATGTCACATCGCTTGCTAATTCAGCAGAGGCTTCTTTTCATCCCATGTCAGCCTTTGCTGGCTCCACGCGGTTTTAAGTGTGACTTTTCCTTTTTCTTTTTTCACCCCTCACACCCCTCTTCTACCTTGGTATTAATAGTGGCAGTGGACAAGCTGCCAAATTTTCTCGCGGCTCCCACACCAGACAATAAACCAGGACCTCACCATCAGTGCTCCATTCACATCAACTGTGAGAGTGTCGACATACTGGAGGCGGCCTATACGGAAGCCATGAATGGACGTCCCTCAACAAGGCAACCTGTCTCATTATCTCACCAACACTCTGAAATGACACATGCCAAGCAGTCAAATCAGTTTTTCTTGTGTTTTGTCCTTCAGACCTATGATCGAGATGACCATCCCGTCTGTGTTGGACCCCACATTGGCGCCCCCTGGCAGTCATGTGGTGTCAATGTTCACACAGTTCACCCCCTTCCGCATCGAGGGCAGAGAGTGGACTGAGCAGGACAGAGAGGCCTTTGCAGATAATGGTTCGAAGTACTGGCAAAAAATTCACCACACAAATCAAAGTAGTATCTGTCATATATATATATATATGTCACTCAATTTCCTCAAATTGTCCTCACTAACTGCCAAGGTTTGATGAAATTATTAAAATCACTAATTAATTTGAAGTTTATTTTGGAAAAAGGGAGTCAAATGAATTTGTTTGTAATATGTATGAAGTTTGTGAGTGACAGATTGATTTGAGGGTTGGCTCCATTAGTTGTAATTCAGTCTGCCACTGTAACCACTGTCATTTTCGAATACGCCCTACATACGTATTGTTCCTGTCACTCATAGTAATATTATTTGAACTGGAACCTGTTTTAGTTTAATCTTATTAACTTCTTAAAATGCATCTATGTTTGTTTCATTCAGTATTTGACTGGGTGGAGAAATACGCCCCTGGATTTAAACAGTCTGTGGTGGGCAGGGACATCCTAACCCCGCCTGACCTGGAGCGTATTTTTGGGCTCACCGGAGGGGTAAACACTTGTGATTTGTTTGACACGAGCAACTGTTCAAACACGCCAATGTAGTTAAATGTCATTCGACTCTGCAGTAATGTAAGTGACGTGTTTGCATTGAGTCAGCATATTTGCTACTTTACTGTACTCACAAGGTGGATACTGTTGATTTTATGCCAAAGCAAAGAAAATCTCGTCTCTGCTTGACAGAATATCTTTCATGGATCGATGTCACTGGACCAGCTGTACCTAGCGCGACCTTTGCCCTCACTCTCCGACTACCGTACACCAATTAAAGGCCTGTATCTTTGTGGCAGTGGCAGTCATCCAGGTTTGCTTAGAACACTCAAGTGCCTGCTGTCAGATTCCAAAAATATACACGAAACTTTTTTTTAAATTTTTTTTTTTAGGTGGAGGTGTGATGGGGTCTCCTGGCTGGAATGCCGCACTGACTGCCATGGCTGACCTGAAACGCCACTGACAAACTATCACAATGTGCAGTAAAAACACTCCAGACACTCCTATCTGATTAGATGCTATGCCATGCACACTTTGTCATACAAAGCTAAATCATTAACAGCTAGTTTGCACGACTGACAGGACGCCTCGCTAATAGTGAAAATCCACGTATAATTGACGGCCATTATAATTGCATGCAACTACATTGCATTTTTTTTTTAACACCAAAACATCTGAACATCAGCTGGTATATACTGCCAATGTGTTTATCATTAAAATTGGGATTTGCCCCACCCTCCCTCAAAAAACAAAACTGTGAATAGGTGAATCTGCTGGTGCCAAACTGTGAGTATCCAGGGATCCACTGTATTTTTAATTGTATTAATGCTACTGGATCTCTCGTGGGGAAAAAAAGTTTGATCATTTCATGTGGAATAGTGTAATATTGCCACACACAAATAAAGATGTTTTTAAAATGTCATATGAATGTACTCTATGTATGTAATGCATGCTCAATACTGAAAACTAAAAACTGGTACCAACATCATTTCTCATCATTGCCAAAATATGTGCGTCTGTTGTGTTTTTAATGTGAAATCAAGTAAATAAAGCTGAATTGAATTTTACTAGCACTTGTCCTTATTACATGTAAAGCATGGAGGCAGCAAATATTCAGGTTGGTTACATGCCAGGATGATTTTTTTTTTCTTAGTGGTACAGCTTGCCTGACCACTTGTTGCCAGGCAGATTTAATTGTGCTCAATCTTTATTTACCAAGAGGTCATTTCCCCCATTTTTTTGCAAGTGAGTTAAAACTAACTGGACAAACTATGACATACACTTTGCAATAGGAGAGAGAGGCTGTTCCAGGGTCTTCAAGTAGAATCATTCAAGGTTCCACCGAGAGTTGATCTCGGATCACTGGATTCAAAGCCCAGAGTGCTGCCCATCACATCATGGAAACCATGAGATTTGTCCTGTGTGTCAAGCTGGATGAACTGTAAAATTCAGTTTGAAAGGTAAAAGCACCCTGCGACCCTTGTGAGGATAAAGCGGATCAGAAAATGGACGGATGAATGGATGGATGGATGGAGGTAAAAGCACACCACATTAATATACTGAATTTGATTATGGACTGTACTTGAGCTAACCTCAAGTACAGTCCATAATGAGGTTTGAACTCACGTTAGAGTTCCAACCATGACACAATGGAACCATGCATTGATGACCGATTTTGACACATATCTGCCCGATCCAGCCCATCAGGTCTGTGTCAAGTAATAAAGTGCAATGTGGAGTAGTACTGATCAATAGACACGAGGATGTGTTCACTTGGAAAGACAGAACAAAGGGCAGCATCTGCAGGATCTGGTGACAATTATTATTATTTTGGTAACGTGTATTCCAAAATGTGATCTTATCAAAATGGAATGTTGCTATTATCAGTACATTGGAATGAGAACTATGTGAGATCGGGTTGGGGGAGACAAGGTGTTACTGTGCCTTTAAGACGCCACTCGAGCTCGTCAGGAAGCGGCTGGAGACTCATTCGCCTCCGGCAAGGATACACTCCCACTCCGAGGCGCCGCAACCCCGACGCCACAGTTGTCCGGTGTCCACGCCGTCCCTAGTCTGTCTTCAAACGGATTCTTCGGTGGGGCAACTTCGGGGCACGATAATGCTGGATGGTTGCGCTCATGAAAATCACCCGAGACATATGTCGCCTGTTGGGGCTCGCCAGCGGTAAGACACACTTTACCTCAAACTTTTGAAAGTCGACCAAAAGTGAGCAAACACTCCTTTCGAAGCCTTCGGCGAACAAGAGCCAGTAGACAGACTCCTAACTCGTCGTTTTATGTTCGTAACGTGGAGATAAAAAGTGTGTTTTAAGATGAGTTCGCGGGTGGGACAATGCCAGCTACACCCTTTTCCTCGAACCACCTTTATCAGTGCATGCCATAAAAATGAGCTAATGCACTTCTATAGATAGGCCGTATCATTCAGCTGAATGTAGGATAATGAAATATTCAAATAGATAAATATGTGGATTCATTTTCAAACAAGAAGGATGAAGGGAGTGAGGGGAGAGGAGAGGCAGCACGTTGGAATGAAAACAATGCCTCAAATCGTTGTCTGAGGCCTGCAGGCAAGTACAAAAAAAAGTAAGGACATTTACGTTGGCTGTAATGCTGTTATTTTATGCTGTCATTGGGTGATGAATGAAAGACAATACAAAAAAATGGAATCATTGATGTCGTTATCGTTTTAGAGGTGCAATGATTAATTGACGACATCGTTATGAAAATGATCTCTGATGAACGATGAATCCTTTCAGCCTCTCAACAGTCAATTTTCTCAGACTTCTGTAGTCCTCCATGAAAGCAGACTACTGTAATTCTCTTTGTGTTGAGTCAAAATAAAATATCTGCAGTGATCCTCATTTTTGCCCATTTTGATTTCGTAGCTGCAGTTACATTAACGTTTATTCATTTTTCATACTACAGTATTGTTGTGTAGTGTGTGTGTATGTAAAGTCACTCTTGTCACACAAAAACCCAGGAACTAATTCTATCATGGGCCACATGTGTCATCCAGCGTGGTCGTGCCCAAAGCTCAAACTGACATTACCATTGTCCCTCGAGTTGAGAGTTGAGCTGGCATTCTTTTCACACACTAGGTTTCGTGAACTCAGCCTGCAAGTGACCAGTGTAATGCTGTCCAAGATGCTAACACATCAACAGTTGCCTCTATAGCACATTCGCCCCGTGTTACACACCCCAGGAATTCATTCCAAGAGAAGAGTCTGTGAATACTAACGAGAAAAACAAAAACGCTTATCACAATCCTACTCCCACTCTCACACTAATCTAACACTAATCTAACGCTCTCATCATGCTTGTGCCTCACTCTCCAGGCATAACCACCCTACCCATGTTTGATCCAACTATGACACAAGCATAAAAAAGTTGGTTTGGCCTGAAATCGATTCAAAAAGACACGCGAGTGAGATGCAGGGATGATGTGCTCAAGAGTTAACTGTTACTCTTTTGCTAGTCACTTGTAAGCCGAGTTCAATAAACAATCTGTGGAGTGCGCATACGCTCCAAGTGTATGCGGTTGTGAGTTTTTGCGTGACAAGAGTGACTAGACGTATTAACATTGTATGAACAATGAATGAATGAATGTTTACATAACCCTAAGTATTCATCTACATCCCCGCTTGAGGAGCAGAGATGTAAACATTGTACCTCACGATGAACACAACAGTGTATATTCTTTGGAAACAGATTGCAGGATGAGATATTCTGAATTAGAAATTTTCCCTTGGATGTTTTTGTTTCATTGCAATTTTTTTGTCTTTTAACGGTTTGTCATATTTTTTTTCAGTAACACAAACATGTGGAGAAAAGATCAGACATTTTTCAAAACCCATTAAACATTCCAAATCATCAAATATACAACACATGTTGATGCTGTGAAACGCTTTACATTTCTGATGTCTTCTCGCAAACGCCTGTGGTATGTTTCTACAAAATACTTTTTTTCTCCATTCAATAAAAACAGAAAACATAACGCACATAGTTTCTGTTGTACAAATCACACCAAAGTAGGAGTTTAAAGGACCTCAAAGTTCTTGTCGCAGCCTTTTTGAATTGTGCATTCTTGTGGAACGAGCCTTTCTTTCAGCCAAATACTCTCAGACCAGGAGAGACAGAGGTGCTTTTGTTGCTGCTCTCCAACCACCTTGAAAGCATGCTACAAGAACCTTCCGCTAAAATACTGTAATACAAAAACGAAACCGAAAGCATCGGAGTGGATCGCCAGACATGGAATGCTGGCATTCTTTCAATGCAATGTGAAGGTTTTCCGCTAAAGACAATTCAAACGGGCAACATTGATCAGTCCAACCAATCATACAAACAATTAACATTGAGATGCGGGACTGCTGTAGAAAGCCTGAAATCGTCTCAAGGGTCACATTTTCATTTAATACTATTTCACCCCACTTGAACAAAAGGAAACCTGACATCACACCCATTCTCACGTCTCGGTGTGTTTTGACGTCCTTTTAGTGCCTCACTGTCATCTGCGGGACTTTCACAGTGGTGTTTCTGAGAGGAAAGTTCTCAGTGTCAAACACTGCTGCGGCTTGGAGCTGACCAAGTGTTCTAGTTCAGTTTCCTGTGAATATGTCAGCCTTCCTGGGTATTTGGATAGAAAACTATGATCTCATCTCTGATATCTCCCAAGATGCGTCATCAGAGGTCAATGAACCTGAATACAACAAGGAAGTCCATGTTTATCTGGCATCAATGTGTCCAGGTAATCTTGCTATCTGAGCCAATCAATCTGGAATTTACAAAATGTAAGTTTCCACCAGGCAATACATTTCAGTTCAGCAGTCTTCATCACAGCTTGCAATGGTATGAGTTGTACTGTTTCGACTGCAGCATAACCTGCCGAGAAATTTTATAAAGATGACTGGAACAAAGTTCCATTTCCAGGCCTGCAGTATACTACTCCTTTAAGATACCATAACACTAGTTAGTCTTTCTTACGCTCACTCATCCATCCTGTATTTATTTACAAAACTGAAACAGACACTTTTGCATTGCGTGAATCGACATTTTTTTTTCTCCCCTGCCTCATCCTGCTCGATTGTGATGCTGTCATGATGACAAATCTGTTCACAGACATACTGACAGAACCAGACAAAGTTGCGAAAGCCACAAGTGCAAATTCCTTCTTTGGTAGGCGTGTCACACACACTCAGGCAGTTGTACACCGAGTGCCGGCACTTTTCCATTAATTGGTGAAAACAGGAGCAAAATAATTGAACGTAACCCAAAGTCCACATGCCAAACTGGGTTTGAGGTTACCAAATAGAATTTTAGAAACAAAACTTCAATCTGTATGCATGTAGGTGGGGAAAACCATTGATTGGTTGAAATATGATTAGCGGTTAGCGACTTCAGTGCCTTCCGCTTCTTTGGAAAGTGCTTCAAGTGTGTTTTCATGTGGACGGAGTGTTAAAATACCGGACTGAAATAAGCAGTTTGTGGTAGCATACAGCACGGACATAACGAGCCTTTCTCCCCGACAGGTCCACCTCCACAGCAGCAGGAACAACAGCTGGACTGCGGTGCCGCATCCCCTGATGATGCTGGCGCTTTGTCGCAGGTAAAGAAATAGTGTCAAAGCTGGCAGGGCAATGCCAACACTGTATAGTGAAAGCTTCATAGTGCCACTCTGACCGTCCGTGTGTGCCTGCGTTCAGGATGCATTAAATGCCGACGAGGATCTGAGCGAGGAAGAGAAGGTCAGACGCAGAGCAGAGCGACGCAGGGCAAAGAGAAAGGTTAGTGCACACATTTTGCTCCTTTTGAACATTGCTGTGGTAAGCATTGCACTGTATCTTCCTCCAGTGTGAAATGTTCCCAAACTTTGGACATTCTTTGTCTTTTGCGCACTTTCTCCTGGCTCATTGCCATCACGCTGATTTGTTTCGACTCGCACTGGTGCGTGTGACTGCAGTGACATTAGTCCGTGTGGAAAAATGATCCCTGCAAATATTTTGCTTCAATATTTTTTTTTTGTGTGTGTGTTTCAATTCCCGGTATTAGATATCAATTTTTTAATTTTTTTTTTTTTTTTTACTGCCACTTCAATTTTCAAATGTCTTTCCAGCGCCGTCGAAAACGGAAGAAGTCAGAACAGGTGAAACAAAGCGACAAAGACGAAGAGGTAATCGTGTTTTTTACATCTGATTTTGATGCACTACATTGAATAATAATAACATGGTCCTTCTCGCTAGGCTGAAGACGGCGCAGCCGGCGACTCGGAATTGGATGACAGCGATTCGGAAGCGGAAGCTCACGTGGGGGGGCAAACACATCTGCAAGAGGCCGACAAAAAGGATGCAAAACCAGCTGCCGCACACAAGCTCACTACCTCCAAGACCACCGCTCCCTCCAGAGGGCGTCGGAAGGCCACATCAACTGAAGAGGTGTGGGCCTGTTCACCTATTACGACAATCCTTAACCCTTGCGGGAGCGAGTGGGGAACCAATGACCCCACAGAGGGTTTGGTTTGGCCGGACATACGATTCCAAAAAACAACACCTCAGAGGACCTTCTTATGAAAAGCCCTCAAACTTTTAATTGAATTGATATTTTTGGATCATTTTGTATTTTCCTCAGAGGATTTGATACAGGAGTCTTTAAAAATTCTTCCTGTAAATCTTACATAAAAAAAGACACTTAAACCTTAAACCCGAGCTTTTTTTTTCCCCTAATTGCCCAGCCCTCTCCTCCCCTGCCCAATTTGACTTACTCAGTCACTAAGTCTTACAATATATCTCGCTGTGGTCCACAGGAGCAAGAGTGGGACGTGAGCAGCGCCTTCTTTGCCAACGCTGCCAGCCACATCAAGCCTAAAGGAACATGCCGCAAGTCCAAAGAGAACAAAGAGAACGAGGCCAGAAAGGAGGTACTTGACATGTCATCTCACGTGATGAGGCGTGTGTGTCTCACTGTTTGTGCGGCACTGATGTGTTTGTTCCTCTGGGTGGTGCAAAGTCTGATGTCTTTAAAAAAAAAAAAAAAAAACAAGACTTTGCACCACCTTTAAATGTAGCAGCTGGAGGGTGTGTACGCGTTTTTGGGATGGGCATTAGACTACGGGTACATTTCCATGACAGGCTATGGGACAAAGTCACAATGAATTGATTTTTTTTTTTTTTTTTTTCGGGAGACCTTTCTCTGAATGATCTGACTTATGTTGTATGAAAGAGGAAACATGTTACACAAAGAAAGAGCTGTGTCATAGCGTGAGTGCAGCTCAACTTGCCATAGTCTATTTTGGCAGCAAACCAGTTAAGACTGAGTCACCAGGATGTCTAAACATGTGCTTTAAGACACGATTACTCAATGACCAACCAATTCCACACAATTCTTCATGCCTATCCGTAGTACAGATTGTAATATTGTTGTCACTTATTTCGGCAAGTGAAGTTGTGGTGGAGTGGTTAGCACGTCCGCCTTACAGTTCTGAGGTTTAAATCTGGGCTTCCTTCCGCTTTCCTGTGGCTGTGCTGAGTTTGCATGTTCTCTGGTCGTGCAGCTTCCTAAAGGAACTAGTCCAAAAAGATACCAGAATCTAAATTTAATCATGAATCATTTTAGAGATGATGTTTGATTTAAAATATCATCCTTTGTTTGTTTGTGTATTTTCGGCATGGTCACGCGCAGGTTAAATAAATGTAGATCAAAATTATGCGTCGCCAAGAGTGAATTATTTTTGTATTTGGAGATCTGCCATATACCATTCACCAATACGCTCCTTTTGGCAGCGACTGCAGTGCATATCATTATTCTTTATGCTGTACACTATCTGCCTATCTGGATGTATACATTTGCAGCAGTGAATTGAAATGATGTCGATGCCTTTGCAGGCAAAGGTAACTGACATCACGACGAAGAAAAGCACATCACTTGCTGGTAAATAATGACTGAAAATACGAGTAACATTCAAGCCCGTTCAATTTTCAGATTGGGATTGTGCAGTTGCATAGTCACTGACGAGCACATTTTTTTTTCACTGTAGAAAAAGGAATCAAGCTCGTGCAAGAGGGGCAGTACTCGCAAGCGGCTCGCATGTTTACAGAAGCCATCAAATGTGATCCAAATGATTACAGGTGCGTCATCCATACTTGTATTTATTCCTTTCTTTCTTGAGTGTTTACTTTTAAACATTCATTTGTCAATGACATAGAAATGGCGTGCTTGCTGGAAATATATGTTGTGCTTCAAATTGATGTTGCTGCAGGTTCTTTGGGAATCGGTCTTACTGCTATTACTGCTTGGAGCAGTACTCTCAGGGCTTGGCAGACGCCGAGCAGTCCATCCAGCTAGCTCCGGAATGGCCCAAAGGACACTTCCGCAAGGGGAGTTCTCTCATGGGCATGCAGGTGGACTCTCGCGCCACACTCGCGTGACGTGACTGCGAGGTTTTTCACGAAAGAATAATCGGTTGACGACAGCATGCGAATGTGTCTTAGCGCTACAGTGAGGCGGAGAAGGCCATGGAGCAGGTGCTCAAACTGGACAAAGACTGTGAAGAGGCTGTGAATGAACTCTACAACTGCAAAGTGCTGCAATTGATGGTGGATACCCATGAAAATATTGCCTTTTTTTTTTTTTTAATGATGAAATTGTCGGAAAACATGCTACTTGATTGTGCTTCAGGAGTTTGGATTTGAAGAAGTGCAGTGTGCGTCGCTTTTGGAGAAATTCTCAACGGTGCAAGCTGTTTTGACATCTTATTTCGATGCTGCAGGAGGTTAGTTCATGCTCATGTCACATAGCAAAGAAGCATTTTGGACGTCATCAATATATCAAGCTTTTGTTTCTTTACTTTGCAGCTACAAGCCAAGATCAATCACTTGTACAACAAGGGTAACGTGATATTAATACTTAGCTTGACAGTGGTTGACACAGTTGATGACATCTGACAATCAGTAGACATGCATGAGACAAATTGTATTATATTTGGGGCAGGGGGGGATCATTTTACATTCCTTCTGTTTTTCCACCAGCCCTTGCCCATCCCTGTGGGTGGGAAATGTGACGACGGAGTTGACAGAAAAAGACCTAAGGGATCTTTTTAAAATGTACGGTAAAATCTTTGATTAGTTATCGTTTCTATTTTATGGCAACCATATGTAATAATATGACCTAAATAACACTTTATCATTTGGATAGTACATTAGCTTGTACAGTAAGGGAGGAGATTTGCCTCGCTGTCATTAACACCTCAATCTGTAGCCTCTGGCATAGAGGTTAAATACAAAATGTTGTTTTCTAAATTTAGTATTTGACCAACTGCTTGTGTTCTTTACATGGCAGGTATGGCGAGATTGAGAGCATCCGTGTACTGCACGAAAGGTTTTGCGCCTTTGTTAATTTCAGGAATGCCAGTGACGCCGCCCGCGCCATGGACAAACTCAACGTGAGTGCTATGCGATTTACGTTCTCTTTTCAACGCGGTCACATAATAAAGGCCATTTACGTTTACCCTCCCTCAGGGCCATTTTATTGAGAACACACGGTTAGTGGTGCGCTATCCGGACCGTCGCCCTCACCGAGTCCTTCCTACTCCGCTCGGTGTCACGCAGCAGGTGGCCGCTGCTGCTGGGTAAGAAGCACGCCATTGTACAGTGGAGCCTTGACTTTTGAGATGAATTCGCTTTCGCTAGTAACGTGAAAGTCACGTCACTCAATCATCTTCTTGTTGAAATGAATGGAAATGTCATTAATCCATTCCAGCCCCACCCAAAAAACACCCAACTTTTTTGTAATGTGTAAACAAAGAAACTAGCACTCTACAGTATTGTGTGTTGTAAGAACATAAATAAGAAATGGTTCCAGAGAATACTACAAAATTAAACAGTTTATCAAAGGCCAGTAGAATACATACATAGATTTAATGATTAAACAGAAGAGGTCTTTTGCAATTAAGCTGCAGTATTTTATTTTATTTATTTTTTTGCTGAGCATAATGATGTTATTTTTGTTAGCCCGGTAATAACATTTCTTTTGTGTGTTAACATGAAGCTAGTTAGCTAATGTTTTATAGTTTGAGTCAATACACAATGATTTCATGTTTAGTTTTACAACACACTTCAACAGGGAGTGGCAGCCAACAGCTTGAAACAAACATTTGGCTTCTTTTGCTCTCCAGAATTGCTCACGATCTCTTGCTTGTTGTGAAGTTTGCTAACATCATATAACTCCAAATTTTCCCTCCAACTCCAAACAAAAATTCGGCCGAGTCTTGGCCCGCGCCATGGACAAACTCAACGTGAGTGCTATGCGATTTACGTTCTCTTTTCAACGCGGTCACATAATAAAGGCCATTTACGTTTACCCTCCCTCAGGGCCATTTTATTGAGAACACACGGTTAGTGGTGCGCTATCCGGACCGTCGCCCTCACCGAGTCCTTCCTACTCCGCTCGGTGTCACGCAGCAGGTGGCCGCTGCTGCTGGGTAAGAAGCACGCCATTGTACAGTGGAGCCTTGACTTTTGAGATGAATTCGCTTTCGCTAGTAACGTGAAAGTCACGTCACTCAATCATCTTCTTGTTGAAATGAATGGAAATGTCATTAATCCATTCCAGCCCCACCCAAAAAACACCCAACTTTTTTGTAATGTGTAAACAAAGAAACTAGCACTCTACAGTATTGTGTGTTGTAAGAACATAAATAAGAAATGGTTCCAGAGAATACTACAAAATTAAACAGTTTATCAAAGGCCAGTAGAATACATACATAGATTTAATGATTAAACAGAAGAGGTCTTTTGCAATTAAGCTGCAGTATTTTATTTTATTTATTTTTTTGCTGAGCATAATGATGTTATTTTTGTTAGCCCGGTAATAACATTTCTTTTGTGTGTTAACATGAAGCTAGTTAGCTAATGTTTTATAGTTTGAGTCAATACACAATGATTTCATGTTTAGTTTTACAACACACTTCAACAGGGAGTGGCAGCCAACAGCTTGAAACAAACATTTGGCTTCTTTTGCTCTCCAGAATTGCTCACGATCTCTTGCTTGTTGTGAAGTTTGCTAACATCATATAACTCCAAATTTTCCCTCCAACTCCAAACAAAAATTCGGCCGAGTCTTGGCTTCTTTCTGAACAAAAACTCACAAGTCGGGTCATTCATACGTCAAGGTACACCTGTTTTTTTTTTTCTGTTCTTCCCTTTAATATATATACTTAAGAATTATTGACCCGTGTCTCCCTCCTCTGTTCTCAGACCACGGCGGCGAGGCCCCGTGAATGGAGACGAGTGTTACTTCTGGAGAACCACAGGCTGCCATTTCGGAGACAAGTGTCGCTATAAACACATTCCCGATCAAAAAGGAAACGACAGGAAGCCGTGGCTGCCTTAAACTCGAGCTTCTTCGTAGTTTACAGAAATCCAGGACGCACCGTCGAAACAACTGGACTGTACGGTACTAAGCGGAGCAGCGTCTCTCGGCTAGTATGTAACATACCCTGGTAAAAATGGAGCACTAAAGTCAAGGTCAGTACCAGCACTCAGGTTCAAAAGCATGAGAAGTCAAGCATGTGCCACAATGCCCTGGCAATGGGATGACTTGGAGCACAAAACAAGGGAGTAACAACATTGCCTCATGCTCACATGATTGCACGGGCCCCGTGCCTAAAGCGGTCCAAGCAAACCTCGCCGACACACGGTCCCGTGTTTTCTATTTTGTTTTCTTCTGTCTAAAGTTGATACACGACAAACCAATGTAAGGCCACCCTTAAAAGAAAGACATGGAAAAAAAGTCAAGTCAAGTTACAGGACTAAAATTTGGAACGTACGAGAACGGCATTAAAATTTGAAAAGAAAAATACAATTTTTTTATTGACTCACGTCCAAACATTATTGTCATCATTGCCGTGTTTATTTTTTTTCTCATAATATCCAGATTTTAGTCTTATAAAATGAAAGCCTTTTGTAATATTATGACGATATTCTTGTAAAAATTTTTTTCTTGTAATATAACAACCATTTATTTTGTCAAATAAGTGGCTATTTTGAGAAACAGCCACATTTGGAATGACCATTTTCGTATAACTACGACTTTATTCTCATAAAACATATTTTTTTTCTCTCATGACAATTTTTTTGCTCTTGAAGTGTGTTCACCTTTAGTCTCAGATGTGAAATGAGTTTATTCTTGTACTATAACATGTTTTTTTTTATCATGTAATGTTTCCATTTTACTCTTGTAATTCCTTGACTTGACCCCATTCTTGTTTTTGTTTTCAATATGGCCCTAATATGATGTGGAAAAAGCAGGCTCAAACTTTAAGACTTTTAGTTCTCATCATCAGCCTCTCCTTAAAATTGGACTCAACTTTTTGTGGTCACCTCCCAATCCAACATCAGTTTTTGTCAGAACTCCAAATAAGAAAACGAATGAAAACAAAAACTCCAGGGACCCGATACTGATCCTTGTATCTTCGCCTTTATTATTAATTTTTTAAATGCAGTGTCAACACATCACTGTTGAATCTATGCAAAAGAAGAATGTAGACTTTTTTTTCTGGACAAAAACATACACACACACACACACACACACACACATATACTCTGTCTGGCCACGACACTGTAGATCCGCCCTGTTGCCGTGTCGCGTAAAATCTGCAGGGACGGTACTTTGTTTTAGACGGTGCAGTTCATGCAAAGTAATGTTTTGTGATCGGTCAGTATTTTGTTGAACCAAAGAATCCGGTGGGTCTGCATGAAACAAAAAGGCCTTTGCATCAACACTAGTGCGTTAAAATTGATATCACCCAACAGCAACCTAACTGCCATTTCTAGTTTAAATCCACACTACATTCAGAAGTAAAAGTGACAGTATTTATTTCATATTTATAACTGTTCCTCTGTTTTTTTTTCTATTGAGTCCTGTCACATGATATAGAATAGGTTGAACAAATGTGTTTAATACAAATTGTTTTAATGTTAGATGAGCATTCTTATTAAGCACACTTTAATGCTAACACTGTTTGTGAGATTTCTGCTCCTCTTCAGTTATTTTCTGAAAAAAACAATTTGATACCAGACTTGATAAACTGTCACATTTGTTTAATATACGTATTACATGCTTCAATGTTAGCTGCACATGTTTTAAGTTCTACGTTTCTTGGCTTCATTGTCGCTTTTATTTGTGCGTCTCACCCATTTTCCAAGAGTTATTTCAGGAAAAAGGCATTTTAAATTTCAATGCACACATTCGGTCTCCTGGGCACTGCGTTGTTGTTGTTAATCTGTTGAATATTTCGTATTTTCGTCACTGCACTGCAATAAAGAGTGTTTTGTATTTAATAAACGTTTTTCAACTCCTGATGTTCACTTTCAGGAATTTCCTTGTGATGTTTCTTGTTTCCGCTAGGTGGCAGTGTTTCACATGCTAAATTTCCACGTCTTCCTCATCTCATTCAGTCAAAAGAATGCCCCCACGCCCAACCGGAATACAACATTCCTATGCATTCAGTTCATTCTTAACACCAAAATCACAGCATAAGAGAACACTGTTTTGGTGATACCCGTGGATTTTTTGCGATGTGTGGGAAAAGCACAACGGGAGGAATGAAAGGAAAAAAAGGTGTCTGTTTTGCCACAAATGGCACTTAATGGCTGCGTTATTACTCCTGTGACTTTTATGTGCACGTCTGAGTCTGAAAAGCAATAAATGAACCGGTTACTCCTGTTAATGTACAATATACTCCTGTTAAAAGGTATGGACTCAATTAGTGGGAGGAGAAGGCATACTAATTAATAACTAGTACTTGCACATGACCATTTTTTTTGTATAGGCCACAATTCAAAACTGATGATCTTGGAAACTCGTGATTGATATATTCTTACTTTAATCATCATCTATGAGGCACATTTGCAAAATGAACAGACATCAATGTTGCACAAGAAGGCCCGACTCTGGTCACTGCTCTAATTCGTCCCAAAGGTGATATATTTGGTTGAGGTCGGGACTCTGGAGGCCAGTCAAGTTCCATGACTTTATGAACCTTGAACTGTTTTGCACGCATTTCGCTTTTTAACATTCCAAAGACGAAATGCTACCTTGAAAAAGAAGTGAACTACTGGATGATAAAAAGTCATGATGGACGGGCAGCGTTTAAGTGGAAAAAGAGGCTTGTTGAAGGCAGGTGACTTTCAGAGGCGTGTAAGTGTAAAAAGAAGTTAAACACCATTGAAAAGGTTGGGGCAAGGTGACTTAATCCGTCATGCTTACATAATGCGATAGTCATAAATTTTTACGGACATGAAAAAAGAATAGTTTCCCAACTACTGTGACTTCGTAAACTTCTGTAGACTGAAGATATCCCTCTATTGTGTTATTGTCTGTTTACGTGTTGTTGTTGCTCCACCATACGTGTTCAAATATCAGTTGTATAAAGGGTTCAACACTGTGACTGTCAATACCAAGTGTTATCCCGTCAATGGCATTTTCCATTAGGTGTTAGCTTTAAGCTAATGTGGGCATTAAAAAAAACAATGAGTCATTCTTTTATTTTCATGTTTAGTTTCACAGTAACCTTGGGTGGCATTAAATAGCTTTTTTTGAAAAATGCCAAACTGCTGCTTATTGAGAAGTGAGTTGAATTCACTGCCTCCACACAGTGCTGATTTTTTGAAAAGTTTTCGCTTGCAAGTTGAAGGAAAAAAAAAAATCATCTGTGTCCCTCATGATGCACCGCTGTACCATGTGAGCTGTGTATGACTTTAGAGGCACGTTTTTGTCGGAAATGCTCATCCAATTCCAGGAGTATGTTGACCTTTGAGGCTCCACTGTACACAATCTTGCACAAGTGCATTTTTTTCCCACCCTCTCCGCTCTTTGATTTTAATGTAAAGTCCAACAAACCAACTTTTCAGAGGGCGGTGGACTGCGGTCATGTGGAAAGGCGGCTTGTTTATTGTTGCAGAGCGTGTCTGCATTTGATGCCCCCACAGATTGCGGCAAGGGCACAGCAAGTTTGGTTGTTGTAATTAGAGAGGTCAAAAAAGAGAACGACAGCACCGTGTAAAGTGGTTTGCATGTGCGCCTCACAGTCTCAAGTTCGGAGTCTGGCCTTGCGTGGAGAGTGCATGTTCTCCCTAGTGTGTGTGTGTGTGTGTGTGTGTGTGTCAATGTGTGTTGAGATGCAGCATCCATACAACATGCACAGCACTGCCATTTTTAGCCCAACACCTCCTTTCTCGTTTTATTTCCATACCTCACTCACTCTCCTTTCCTCTCTCTGATTTGGTCTCACTAATAGGGGGTCTGCTTTTCCTATATGACTTTACCAGTCAGGGTGGGACCATCGGCCTGCCACCCAGTCCCCACCATCACGTGCACTCACGCACACAAGCATCCCAATTACAGCCTTTTTACACATGTAAAAAAAAAGTCACACATGCAACGTAGAAACTCTACATGGACGTGCAGTGCATCTAAGAATACACCAGACCTCCTTAAAAAGGATGCCGCTGAGGTTTACTTAAAACCTGAAATAGTTCATCAACACAACGCTCCATGTCTTAACTTGACCATGTCGCTAATTTGGTCGCAGATGACTCCCCCCCAAAAAATAAACAGATTTAAAGATGTGTGATGGGTCCCGAGTTGCGCAAGAGTGACCCCCCTGCCGGGCAAAACTAAAGCAACATCACGTTTGACGTCTCCAGTGATGAGTCTTTCTGCTTCCGGTCGCATGATGATACGTTTGACAATAGTAACATATTCTTGGCTCGGGGTGGTATGTCGTTTTCTCATCAGTCACGTTCACCATGGATGTATTTGAGGCCGCGGCTATTTTGAATGTCGGTGGTTTGCGGCGCTTTCGACAAGGAAAATATCTACGCTGCGGTACGGGGGAGCTTCTTTAAGACACTTGCAACTCTGGATGTTTGAATCTATTCCTGATGCGAGGCCTTCCTGTCGGTCACACGCATGTTCACTCTCCCTTGCACTTGTGTAACACGCTTTTGCGTTAGCTTGTGTAAGTGTGAGCAGCCAATCAGAGAGAGAGGTGTAAGAGGTCCAGTCGGAAAGTTGCGTAATCTCGTTGAAAATGCAATTCCCTCTGAAATTGTGGGTGATTGCAGAGCAATAATGCGAAGTGGAAGAGAACTTTCAAAATCGATTTGAGTTGTTGAGTATGAAACAAATGTTCCCATTGGAAAAAAGGCCAGTTGACGACAACCATCAACAATGTAACCCATTACCTTTCATACTAGTCAAAACAATGTCTTAAGTTATACAAGTCTAATTGTCTAATCTCGTTGAAAATGCAATTCCCTCTGAAATTGTGGGTGATTGCAGAGCAATAATGCGAAGTAGAAGAGAAGTTTCAAAATCGATTTGAGTTGTTGAGTGTGAAACAAATGTTCCCATTGGAAAGAAGGCCAGTTGACGACACCATCAACAATGTAACCCATTACCTTTCATACTAGTCAAAACAATGTCTTAAGTTATACAAGTCTAATTGTCTCACAAGTGTAAAAATAAGTTATAATTGTTAACATAAAAAAAAAAACGTTTTTTTTTCAACCTGTTATTAAACGACTCGAGTATAAATATAGGGTTCACCAATATTAAGCCAAAGCCCTCGATGTACGTGCCCAGCACAAGTCTTGTCTTTTTTTTTTTTTTTTTTTTTTAAATACAAGATTATATCTGCCATTTGAACAAGGGCGTGTGGACTTTTTATATCCACAGACGCCCCCTAGTGGCTGAACTTTGAAGTGATACCTCCCTATTGTGACATTATCGCTTCCCCCGCTCGTGTTTGGGACGGACAGAAGTCATTGTGCTGCTGTAAAAACAATTGGCAAACATGTTGTTCTTTTGTGAATGGAAAGAATTGTTCCCTTTCACTTCACTCCGCACTACAATTACATTCGTGCGCAAAAATAACCGAACCCACCTCAGCGGTTGTGTTCTTCATAGCAAGCAGACGGCGTCGGGCCTCTTATCTCATCAATAAAGGCACAATCTGAAGCTTTATGTTCTTTGCACGAGAGTGATGTGAAAGGGAAAGGAGGGAGGGAGAGAGGGAATCAGGGAGGAGATATATGGAGAAGGAGGGAATGAAGTGAGAGGATTTTCTTTTTTTTTCGCAGACACACTCCTTCACTCAAGACGTCCGCGACTGCCCACACACACAATTTGCTGCTTGTCAGGTCAGTGAACTTTCACTTTGCTTTCTCCTTGATACTTTGAGTTTGCATTTTTTTTCTATTGGTCTCATTGTATTGATTGGTTGATGTGTCGTCTCAGGTGTTGTTTTCTTTTTTTTTCCCACACTGCAGAGTCAGTGCTCTGATTTTACTTTTGGAGTCCAGGACCACATTGTGAGTCCCGGTACTTGTTAACCTCCAATTAAAACCTTTCCCATGGGTTTCTTGAGTTTTCATGCAGCGTTCAGTGAATTTATCTCCAATGAGTGACTGGCATGAAAATGAATGGATTTGAACAAAAATTACATTTCCCATTTGCAGTATTTATAAGCATAATTGGTGGTATTACTTTGTAACTGAGCAGGCACCTGGCTTGCTTGTCCAGAAGATGTCATTGTTGCTCTTTTAAAAATTAGGCCTCTTCTCATCTCTGATAATTCAGCATTCGCTGGTTATATTCATAAGAATTCACCCAACTCAAAATTGAAATCACCGGTCTTCCATGACAAAAGTGTGTCTTTTTTTTTTTAATTGTTAGAAAATAAGAATAATCAAAGCTCTGTAGTGCATTGGAAAGTAGACAGTGAGGATTCGAGAAGATGAGTCGACTATGTGTCACACTTTGTAATATCTTTAGCTGTCATGCAAAGGTAAAAAGAAGTCAACAGCTGCCTAATTATATGCAATGATATTTGGCGGAGGGCAGCATGGTGGACGAGTGGTTGGTACGTCTGACTCAGAGTTCTCAGGTTTGGGGTTCGACTCTCAGCTGTGGTCTTCCCGTGTGCGGTTTGCATGCTCTCCCGTACTTGTGGCTTTTCTACGGGCACGCTAGCCAACGTGCATCTTGGGTACATTGAAGACTAAATTGTTTAGATGTGAAAATAATCTTTCTGCACTGTTAAAAAAACACTTAACGGGTCAAAAGGGGGCCGACCTTTGCTTGGGTAAATTTGGCCCATTTTTTTGACTTTGTTTTGTACAAAAACTAATTAATCATTTTATTATATTATTTTTTGGGGGGTTGTTTTGTTGGTTATTCATTTCGCTCCAACATTTTAGGTTATTAATTAAAGGGGTCCAATATTGGGTTATTTTTTGAACCAGCTGTTTTTAGTCCAACCCTTCAACGAGATCTGCCACTTCTAATCAAGCTGTAAGAAAATTCGCACTGAGTCCAAAAACTCTTAAAGGCAGTAATTTGATCTTAAAATAACAGGCATAACATTTTCAGTATAGCTGCGGTTCCTAAAATTAGCGGTGTTACCCACGGATACATCTGGCTGCTACAAACGTTCTCGAATAATTGAATTGACTTCAACTTCAGTACAAAAAACTGTCCAAAAATGGTGACCAGCTTCAGCTCAAACCCAATCTTCAATCCAGTCTGCTGTGTCAAAAATAATTAATCCAACCATAAATAAAAGTCACCTAATCTGTTCAAAATCGACAGCAACCTAGCGAGTGGGTCAGGAAAACACCTCAGCAGTTTTTAGCATGTTTTTTTTTCCGCACTATATTCTACAAATAACATCAAACCGAGCCTGCATCAGAATAAGGATGATTTGGATAACTTTTAATTGCCCAAAGTGACCCATAGATGTTTTACCTTCTTCCTCCCCAGACCTTTCCTCCCCCGTCACAATGTCCCACGCCATCTTCTCCAGCTGCCTCCTGTTCCTCTTCCTTCTGTCGCTCTGCGCTGCCGAGCCACGGCGCACCACTTCCGGTCCGCCCAGGGTGGCGCGCGCACCTGCCGCCAAGGTACGTCTGGCGGGAAACTCGCCGCGGGAGCCTCACGAGGGGCGCGTGGAGGTGCTGCACAACAGCACATGGGGCACCGTGTGCGACGACGAGGTGGACATCAACCTGGCCAATGTGGTCTGTCGAGAGCTGGGCTTCCAGGGGGGCGTCACGTGGGCACACAGCGCCAAGTATGGGGAAGGACAGGGTAAGACACTTTTAAGTCTCTTTAACACAAGGATCCTGTTAAAACAGGCGTGTCAAACTCATTTTTTTGCGTGGGACACATTTTAGTTACCGTTTGACTTGGAAGGCCGTTATGACTGAAACCATATCAAGAAGTCAAGAATAACTGTTCATTCAAGTTTTGTTTAAGTTGCTACCGTGAGGGGTTTGGTAACAAGAAAATGCTTAGAATGTATCTCTTATTTATTACATGTGAGAATTAAACATTTTGGTAGACATTTTAGAAAGGATCATGGAAGTTGACATGTTTGAGCTGCTTTCGCGGGCCACATAAAATAATGTGGCGGGCCAGATCTAGCCCCCGGGCCTTGCGTTTGATACCTGTGTGTTAAAATGACACTGCTAGAGAAGATCTTGCAACTTAGTTTTGTCTTGTACTCGGAACGGAGCTACAATAAGCGGAATATACCCAGAATGCGAAGAAGGCAGCTTTGAGAGGTCACTGAACAAAAATCACCCAGTGAAAATCAAAGGCAACAAACGCGTTGATACGGAAAGGGGGTACAAAGTCCCACCCATCGAAATTCTGTATTACGAGAGCCATGACAGAAGCAGGACCGCACCTGTCTGAAAGGGATTTTCCAACAAATCAAGACACTAATGCTAAAAACAACACTGGCGATAAAACAATAAACGTGCTTCCCTTAACAAGGATCAGAGATGAAAGTGCTTCAAATGTGTAAGATCGCTGACCAGGTTTTTGGGAGGAATCAGTCTCCCAAAATTGGGCTTAAATCAGGCTCAATATGCACAGTGTATGCTGACCTTCCTAAATTGTTGATAGATTAAATCCTCTATTCACCATGCAGTACAATTTGGTCTCGTTTGCAAATGAAAAACCATTATGAAAAACGATGTTGGTCTACAAGTAACTGGTTTGTACGCAACCATTTTTTGGGCTACCCACCATTGGGCTACCGACTGAAGCTTCAGCACAGAGCTTCTACTGGCTGACTTTCCTGGGATCACTTTCCCACTGTCCTACGATACCAAACATTGCTTTGACCCAACACAGCTTGTCGTCAGTTACATCATGAGAAAAAAGAATGCCAAAATGTTGGACGCCATCCGTCATTGTCCTGACTGTCATGTTTCTTTTCACTGCTGACTTTGTCGTGGATTTGCACAGCGTGACGTCCCGCCAGTCGCGATCGCCCCTGCTGGAAAAGCAAACCAGACTCGGCTGACAGGCTGCACTGCCTGCTGAAAATGTGGCCCCGATTGTCATACGGCGCTTGACGTGCCGTGGCAAAAGTCACTCATCATCAGTGTTTCATGTCGGTCCAAAAGCCAGCCAATTATATTGTACTCGACCTTAAATACTTTAAAATATACCATATGGCTTACCAGTAATTAAGACACCCGAAATAACTGACATCATAGAGGCACAAAGATGACATCTCGTTCAGGTCACCCGGCAGGCTGGAGGAACGCATGCATGGAGGGGAAAAAAAAAAAAAGTGGGGGCATTTGTTTTGGAGTAATGACAGCATTCAGTTGACCACAATTTTGCAACACTTGCTGCGCTTTATGGACATTCTTTAGTGCTGCTTTTAAATCCAAATTAAAGACAACGTGGAATGAATTTGAGAGGCGCAGTCGTAAAACACTCAACTTCTGAACACGCCGCAAAGGTGCAACCCCTAATCAAGCTACCGGCTTAAGTCATATACGAGGCCCGCTTTTCAGAGCTTGTGTGGTCTGTTTCCAGAACAAGGTTGATCTGGACAGCATGCTTAATAACAGCTTACTTTCCTCTGCCAAGGTCCCATATGGATGGACAATGTTCGATGCAACGGTTCCGAGAAGTCCTTGAAGGACTGCAAGCACAACGGCTGGGGGGTGAACGACTGCAAGCACTCTGAGGACATGGGGGTGGTGTGCGCCACGGAGCGCAGGCGGGAGCAGACGACCGGCGCTGGAGACCACAGCAACGCCATCAGCTCCAATGGGAATCCCTCGCCCCAGTGGCAAGGCCCGGTGGCTAGCCGCAGGCACTCCGGATACGGCTATTACGGGAACGGACATCCATACGAGGTCCCCAGGATCCAGAGGCAGCAACTTAACCATGTATGGCGGCATGCCACGCATGAACGCATCACAGCTGTTGACGTTTTCTCTCACTACCGATTGTTGACTTCCTTCCTTCAGGGTCACAGTAAGGTCCGAATCGAGGAAGTGCGCCTGAGGCCTATGCTCATGTCAACCAAGAAGAAGACCTTGGTGACCGAAGGCGTGGTGGAAGTGAAGCACGCGGGGAGATGGAGGCAGGTGTGCGACATGGGCTGGAGTCTGAACAGCAGCAGAGTGGTGTGCGGGATGCTCGGCTTTCCTGACGCCGCTCAGCCCAACCTCAAAATGTACAAGTGAGTAAAGCGTCTTTTTCTCCAGCTGTCGACAATCAGTGCTGGGTAAGTTGGATAATTATGTACAATAGCCTGCTGTCTCCGAGTTGTTTAAACTACTTCTGAGGTCCTTTTGCGAAAATAATTTAAGTTCTTAAGCCAATGTTTATATGATCCATACGTTTTTGTCAATTATGGGAGTTTATTAATCTCAATAACACAAAAATGGTTGCTCACACTATGACTTTGTGTTTCATGATGAATCATCAAATTTCACTTGTGAAGAACCCCAAAATGGTCCTAAAATGGCCTCCAAATCAGAATGGCGCACTTCCTGTGTCTTTTCTGTTACGTGTTCTCTCTTGAGACTTTTTTGTGGGTTTACTCATGCTAGACATGCCGGCCAAATTTCAGTTTGCCCAGTCAAACTTGATTTAAAAAAAATGTGATTGGTTGCTATGGAGTCTTTTATTCGGGGGGCATCAAGCTTATGGGTGGAAATTTTCAACACGCCTGATAATTTGGTGTGTTTTTTGACAATAGAAAAAATTTTGGGGCGGGAAACAACAGTTAGAACAACAAATACACAAAGATGTTTTCGGAGGACATAATACCCCCCTAAAAATAACCAAATAAATCACCTTCGCAAGAATCACACACTAACTAACAAAACAACCCATCAGTGTTAAATGATGGAAAAAGTCAGCAAAGAATAACAAGCAAAGAGAAGCCGAGTCCACTTAAGAAGCAGAACAAGTAAAAGCCTTCTGTCACGCTTATCTTCACCCCCCTCAGCCACATCACCACGAGAGGTCCCTTCCTCTCCTCAGCCTCGGGGTAATGATAAGGGGCATCTTGGTTCCTAGCGAAAAGCTTTTCTTTACACCACTTTCCAGGCAAATCGCGCACCTCATTGCCTCTGGGGCTCTCTGATGCTATCTCCGCTCCCAAGACAAACAGCAATACTTTTAATTTTGGATTCCTGTCCCTAGGTGTAATATCAGCTCCTGATTGTGCTTTAACTGTTCCGTCGATACGCTGGTGTGAGGCCAGATGAACCTTTGTCTGTGTGTGTGTGTGTGTGTGTGTGTGTGTGTGTGTGTGTGTGTGTGTGTGTGTGTGTGTGTGTGTGTGTGTGTGAAGTCACTTGTTTTATTGGCGGTAGAGCATCGGCAGGCTTGAGTCAGCGTTGCTGCGCCTCTCCTGCCAGTGGTTGCCATTAAGGCAGTGGCAGGTCTTAGAATTTTTTTGTTTTTCATTGTATGCATCTGCACAGACTAATGCAGAGATTCCGAAGCTTAATACATGGGGAATGCGCTATAAACTTTGGCTTTGGTCAGGGAGAGCGGCTGCGCAAATCCCATGTTACTTTGGCAAAAAACAAATACCGTATTTTCCGTACTATAAGGCCCTTCGGAGTGTAAGGCGCACCTTCAATGAATGACCTATTTTCAAACTGTTTTCATATATAGAGCGCACCGCACGATAAGACGCACAGAATAGAAGCTACCATAGTGGCTGTGGTTGCGTTATGCATCCACGAGATGGAGATGCGTTAAAGGGAATACAATACAATACAACACATATTTATTTTGATAGAGCTTTCACAACCAGTGCAGCTGTAGCAAAGCGCTTAACAGAAAATTTAAAATACGACGGCCAAGAAATCAGAATATTGATCCATACTGTATATGAGGCACATCGGATTATAAGGTGCACTGCACTGTCGGCTTTTGAGAAAGTTGAATGCTTCTAGGTGCGCCTTATAGTGTGGAAAATACAGTAAGTTGAGTCCCCATGAAATTTTAAGCAACTAGGGTCAACTCATTATGTACTTGGGGTTTACAAGTCAAGTCATATGATGTAGTCACAACGTATTTAATATTAGCACTTAAGCCACTTTGCACTCAGTAGCTGAACCTTTACTAACACATGTTCACGTTATTTAATGGTCTCAAGCTATTCTTCATATTTTCTATCTCTATGACTTGAATCCAATAATAATCTTCTGCGTTGTGAACATAGAGTAAACCTATAGTCGGCTTAGCAACTTAGTTACTGGTGAGTCAAGTCATGTGACTTGGGTCTCCCAACTCTGGGTTGTGTGGCTGGAAGAGGTTGCGAAATCAAATCGAACCGTATCAGTCAAATTCTGCTTTTATTGTCTCCTTTAAATAGGGTGTCCTAAGGTGTCCCAAAATGCATTGCAATTTGCTGTCGTAATAGCCTTCTAAACCATAATGATGTGTCTAAAAGTGCCCTTTTTCCTTTCTGTTTCCACAAACAATTGTACTGTTTGCTTTTTCACAAACTATATTTTCCTCCAGCATGCATTGGCATTAAAAATGCTTACCATCTACTTTAGGTATTGGCCACCCGTTGGTTTCCATTATGCTATCGTGGCAGTGCTTAACCACTGCCAACAAAATGTCCTTGATTCACTAAGGCGAGTAAATTGTTTTTTTTTTAGAGCACAGAAAAATACCGTAAAGATGGTTTCTATGTGTTCTCCAAAGTGTACCCCGCTTCTCGCCCAAAGTCACCTGGGATAGGCTCCACCTCACTCGCGAACCTAATGAGGAGCAGTTTGGTATAAAATTGTTAGATGGCATATTTCTATAATTTTACATGGTTGACATCTGCTGAGAGTCAATCATTTTCGTGCTTAATGTGTTCGCTCCACCCTGAACTGATTGCCAGTTAATCACAGGGCACATAAAGAGATAAACAACAATTCGTACTCAGAGTCAAATAGTCACTGATTGAGAAATGAACTCATGGTGCCTCTAACAAAGTCCATTGAGTTAACCGCTACATCAATAGTGACTTCAGTCAGTCTAATATTCGCATAATAGCCTCTGTGCTAACTTGGCTCGCCTGGGTAAACTCATTCCATCCATTTTTCGTCAGGGTGTACGCTTGGAAGGTTCTCGCCGCATGTTGTCCGTGTCATATTCTACAGTCGAGTTGTCTGGTTAGGTCTGCATGGATGTAGACTTTAGCTGTTCTTCTTTAATCAATTAAGTAGTGCGCTCCAGAAACATGCATCTTAGATCTTCTAAAGACAAAATTGTATTGAAGTGCAGTCAGTCCCATCGTGGATGTTCCAACCGTCTGCATGAATTACTTCAAGCCGATGCTCCCGAATCGCACCGGTTCTTCGTGTGTTGGTACAGGGTTGTTTATCTGCAAAAGCATGCTAACCGTGCACTTTCCGTGCATGTTTTGTTTTGCTCATTGTAAAGCGCAGACTGAAATAGATACTGTAATTACTCCACGTGAGCAACCAAAACAATGACTCTTCAGACAATATGACGTTGACCTTTTTTCTAACATCTGCACCCGAGATTGGAAGCCAAGAAACTCTTACGAGATCACATTGCACGTTTTTGACCATCGGAGACACTCCCCCATGTTCCTCCACCTTGCTCGAAAGCCTTTCTTAGCAGTCAGGCCGCGTCTCTGGGGCCGCCTGTGTGTCTTGGATGCGATTCTTAAGATGCTGTAATTGCAGGTTGGTCAGGAGCGAGGCTCGCTGGGGTTTGTGCTGCGAGAGAAAAAAAACACCCTCCATTATAGCTGCGTGTGAGAGAGGAAGGCTGCCTTGCCAGAGAGGGAGGGAGGAAAAAAAAACAAGCCGCACCAGTCCAATCTAATTTTCACTTTCACTGTGAAATATCTTTAATTATGGCTGCCGTACGAGCCGTTCAATCAGCAGATGACCGTGTTTTTTTCGTCTGGCTTTTGATTTAGGGACTTCAACCTTCATAAGGACATTTAATGCTCTAGATTTTGTTATGTTTGAATTTCGAGTTGTGTGGGATGTGTTGAATGAATACTTTTCCAGAGGATATTCACTTTAGAATTGTCATTTATGATCCTTAGATTAGAATAAAATGGCAATGCTACACAGAAACAGACACGTATTTTCCGGCACAGAAACAAATGTCCTTCATATTAAATCCCATTTTCATCCCAACAAAAACTAATGTTGAGATTTCAATTTGGTAAATTTTAGGGTTTGAGTCACTTAAACAGCACTGAAAAATGTACCAAACACCGCACTTGATCGTAATGTCTTTTGTCATACCCCATGAACAATTAAGTAGCCTGCTGGCTAAAAAAACAGATGGAGAGACTTTTTATCTCTAGTTGTCAGTAATATAATAATGACATATGCAGCAATTATATCTGTCATGCATTCTCACTTGTTGTTTTTTTCCCTGTGTTTTAATTGTGAAGTTTTAAAGGCTAGTAAAATAACGGGACTGCTTGAGTACCACTATTCGGCAGGCTTCCCTGGGAATTTGACACACATTTCTTATCAAATGATCAATTAATCTATAAATTTATTTATTTTCAAATACAACGTTTTTCGTTGGATGGAGGAATGTCTGAGAACGATCTTTACTCCTATTTCCATGCGAGTGCCATATTGAGCAAAATGGAGGTGCCAGGAGTAGAAGTGTGCTCACTGTCCCACCGATGTCAGAATATTGTTAACCTTCTTTACACCGGGAATTTGACACACATTTCTTACCAAATGATCAATTAATCTATGAATTTATTTATTTTCAAATAAAACGTTTTTAGTTGGATGGAGGAATGTCTGAGAATGATCTTTACTCCTATTTCCATGCGAGTGCCATATGGAGCAAAATGAAGGTGCCAGGAGTAGAAGTGTGCTCACTGTCCACCGATGTCAGAATATTGTTAACCTTCTTTACACGGGAAAAACTAGTCACCACAGTTATCAGCAGCATCTTTGCTGCAAGTCGTCCACAGAATTCCGAATAAACAATTAAAAACTTTTTGATGTATTTTTTTTTTCCAGTCAGAGAAATGCAAGGCGTAACGAAGTGCGATGAACCTTGCGCAATAACGTAATTATACTCTCGACTAACAGGCAGATGAGACTCCTCATCGTTAGCTTCATTAGCATCATTAGTGTCAAAGCCCAACAAATAACTCTCTTGCCAAAAGTCATTTTAATAGATGCTGTGGTGAAAACTCATCACGCAGCTGTCTAGAGTCCACTCGCGGTGGATCAATACGCACGCAATATTGACATAAGAAGATTTTCAACGAAAAAAAGCAATGGGTTTTTAATCTGAATGTCTTTTGTCGGACTGAAGTTAGTTTAGACAGCGTGTGGCGAGGTCGCACAATTGTGGGTTTGTGTGGGCTGCCGGCCTGCGGAGCCACATAATAGCTGCATTTAACACATTTTACAAGGGGAGTTGAGGACATGCTGTGTGAAATAACATGTCACTGGCCGCTTTTGTGCCGCTTATGGAATTATGCGATACGAATAGCATCGCTTCACTTGCGTGTTGAGCATGACGTCAGCTGTTTATTTGTGTTTGGGCGTTCTGCGTCACATCATGTTCCTCGGCGAGTACACTCGTTTGCGTTGTATTTTTATTTAGAAGTAGCGATTTGCAAAACACCTCTCGCTGTGAACTAATTGGAAATGATGAATGTAAATGCGTATTTTCTCGCCCCCAAACAAGCTTTTATTCTTGAAAAACATATTTGTGCAAAGGTCTTGCTTAAGTACGGCGTGACGAGTGATTGAGGGAAGTGGAGGCATCATTAGTGTCAAAGCCCAACAAATACCGAAGTAACGCTCTTGCCAAAAATCCTTTTAATGGATGCTGTGGTGAAAACTCATAACGCAGGTGTCTGGAGTCCACTCGCGGTGGATCAATACGCACGCAATATTGACATAAGAAGATTTTCAACGGAAAAAAGCAATGGGTTTTTAATCTGAATGTCTTTTGTCGGACTGAAGTTAGTTTAGACAGCGTGTGGCGAGGTCGCACAATTGTGGGTTTGTGTGGGCTGCCGGCCTGCGGAGCCACATAATAGCTGCATTTAACACATTTTACAAGGGGAGTTGAGGACATGCTGTGTGAAATAACATGTCACTGGCCGCTTTTGTGCCGCTTATGGAATTATGCGATACGAATAGCATCGCTTCACTTGCGTGTTGAGCATGACGTCAGCTGTTTATTTGTGTTTGGGCGTTCTGCGTCACATCATGTTCCTCGGCGAGTACACTCGTTTGCGTTGTATTTTTATTTAGAAGTAGCGATTTGCAAAACACCTCTCGCTGTGAACTAATTGGAAATGATGAATGTAAATGCGTATTTTCTCGCCCCCAAACAAGCTTTTATTCTTGAAAAACATATTTGTGCAAAGGTCTTGCTTAAGTACGGCGTGACGAGTGATTGAGGGAAGTGGAGTGTCAGCTGCCAGCGACGCTAACGTCACTGCTGTAGCAAAGCCTCCCTTGATTTGATATTTTTAGCCCACTGACTTCATTAAGTAAGGAGGCTTGCATTCTCACCAAAACGTCCAATATATAAATTATTCATGCATGATTTCTACTCCAGGACCACATTTGATTTTGGAAATAAGAATAATAAGAATAAGAACACCTTTATTCGTCTCACAATGGAGAAATTCCCAATTTACAGCAGCAAAGTTATGAAAGGAAGAAAGTAGAAGAACAAAAAGTACTGTGTAGGAGCTGCCGTAAAGGTAGCCACTCTCGCAGCGCCATCGTGAAGTCATAATAACATAATAACAAAATAATACGACACAACACATAAGACACGGTCATTCAATCTTAACCACTTTTCTGCATACTCTTTGTTGTTTGAAGCAGTTACAGATGAAAGAGGAAGGGCCGCGTTGTTCATACATGAGGTTGAAAAAAGAAAAGTTTATTGTCACTGGTTGGTGGAAACCTACATATGTCCAAATTCAATCAATTTCACATTTTTTCCCCACAAATAAATACTGTTGTTTATAAAATGGTTCTTAAGATGCAAAGATTTCATCCAATGGCAGGTCGTGTCAATCTAAAATGAAATGCATTAAAATTATGTAATTTTTATAAACAAGTCACCATTGTTAATTTGACGATTTCACCAATATTGAGCAAGCTAAAATCATAAAAAAAAGAAGAAAATGCATTTTTTTTGGGAGGAAAAAAAAAGACAACATGAATGCATTATACGGCCCATCCTATTAAATTTTGTGGTTGTACTGTACATATTGTTGTCCTCAGTTAATAAAAAGGTCTTTAGAATACGAAAAGGAGCCACATGGTAGACAGTACTCCTACAATGGGAGTTTTAAAACAGCCACACACCAGGCAGTAGCATACTTAGCATGTTCGCTACAGAGCATAATCCATGTGAACATCTGTAATGGTGTTTGCACAGTGCAAGGTTTGGAAGCCATCCCGGCACACTCTGTTTGTGGCATATGTTGGCGTACCCGTCCAGTGAGCGGAAGGCTTCCCTCAGCTCTTGCCCTGCGCTGTGCATAATTGGCAGCAAGCGGGTTCTTTTTTTTCCAACCGAAATGCTAGTGTTGAACAATTTTTGGCATTACAGTATTTACACGGAGGCTTTACTGGCTAAAAGAGTGAAAAACGCAGCGGAACTTGGAAAGATGAACGCAATCCTTTGTTGTGTTTTTGACAAAGGTCACGAAGCCATCGTGATTTATAAACATTCTTATTTGTGGATAAAAGTGTAAAAGGAAGCTAACCACCGTTACTTCAAAACAATCCAATTAAATTTTAATCACAAGACATCTTGATTTACAGTTTCATGTTTTTCTCATAACACACCCTCACGCTGGTCCGTTTTTGGGATGAACGGTGCCAGCCATTTTAGGACCATTCTTTACCCTAGCACGTAAAAAAAAAAAAAAAAAAACCATCAAGATGTACCTAGGATTAAATGCCTGGATTCTTAAAAACCTATAAAAAAAGAGTTAAAAAGAAAAAGAGGCCAAAGAAAAAGCAATAATTTGGGCGCTATTTCAGAAAGTGCTTTTACTTGACATCTAATTTGGTGCTACCTCTCTCTTTCTCGTTGGTTAAATATAAAAAAAAAACAACAGTTAGCTCACATTGTGAAAGGGACTAAATCAATGCAGAAAAAGATAGCTGAAGGAACTGTGAATTTATCCCAGCCCGCACCATTTGTATTCCTAACCCTGCTCGAAAACCATTGTTTTATATACAAAAGTTATATTTGGAGCAATTGCAAGTCATTACGAGAGTGGTGAATATTTTTGGTCACCAGGCAAAAACATGCAATATGCGCGTGTGTGTGTGCGTGTGTGTGTGTGTATGTGTGTGTGTGTGTGTGTACCGCAATAGTTGATGTTCTCATGTGTGGCCAGGTTACATCGAAAACAAACAACAGAAGCCAGGGTCATTATTACGTCAAACCAACATGGGGTCATTGAAGTCACCTCACAGGGTGAAGTGTGTGCGTGACCAAAGTCGATACACACTCCTGATAGGACCATTTCCTCTCTTTGTTTCTTTACAGGAAAATATGGGACACCAAGGTGGCAGATCCTTCAACAAGGTAAATCATACCTTGGCATATTTTGGCTACTTCACATAAGAGCCGTCCCACCTCTGTTACGCCTCACAAAATAGCAGTGAAATTTTATGGGTCAACATGGAATCCCAACAAGCTGTGTGGAATTTCATTTTGAACTTCATCTCCTCCCTTTTAGGCTGAGCCTCATGTCCAAGAAGAAAGGCTTTTGGATCGAGAAGGTCCACTGTCTGGGAAGTGAGAACACCTTGTCGGAGTGCCACGGTCAGCTGTCAATCCCCCGTAGCCCCGCCCCCTGTAAGAACGGACGGCACGCTGTGGTCAAATGTGTTCCGGGTCCTCAGTTTTCTCGGATTTCCTCGGGAAGACCTCAAGCCCCGTACCCAGTTGTGGTAAGAAGACGTGATTATTTGTAAAGTGAATTCAGGCGATGTCGACTTTAACTTTTGATCCTGTTCTCTCGGCATAGCCGGTGCGTCTGAAGGCCGGGCCCAGGCTCGGCGAGGGTCGCGTAGAGGTCCTCCGAGATGGAAAGTGGGGGACGATCGTGGACCACATGTGGGAGCGGACGGCGGCCAGCGTGGTGTGCAGAGAGCTGGGCTTCGGTACCGCCAAGGATGCACTGCAAGGCGCCTATATGGGTCAAGGTGAGAAGGAACAATGATCTTGTTTTGACTGGGCGGTTTTTTTAAAGTGTTTATCAAGCGTGATGGAATGCCAGATGAGATACGGCCACCTTTGCAGAACGTGTTTTATCTCACATCAGCAGCAATCAGATGAGATCACGTCTGTCTTATGATTCACTGCTCCACCTGTGTGTCCTGAGCCGGGACGGTCAGGTGCACACACACACATATCCACAAAACTTTCACATGACGCCTCATACGAAAAGCTGCCCTGGTTTGTTTAGGCTTTGAGGGCTCAAATAGCAAAAAGTACCCTGCGTTTGCCCACCAAAGGCTCTGACTCACATACAGCGGAACCTCTCAGTTTGACCACAATCTGTGTCAGGATATTGGACCAGCTGAGATTTGCTCAGATTTAATTTTTATTTAACAAAGAATAATAATAATAATGATAATCTCTCAGTGGGTGAAACTGTTGCCATCATTCTTCACCCGCATGTAAGTATACAAGTGTGGAAGTGGAAGTCTAAACTTGAAGGAATTTTGTGAAGGTGATTCCCGATGCAGATGTTCCTCATTTTCCAACATAAAATTAAATAAAATGAAAGGTGTAAAAACAAGCAGACCACAGGAATACAAACCGTACAGGCCGAATGTGGAGCTCCACTGAACGGTCGTCTTGTCAAATTGAATTTACTAATTTCAAAGTTTGCATTTGGTATATTGATGAATAATTATCGTCGTTGAACATTTTATGCAAATAAAAAAAAGCCACATTAAAAAAAATTAATCTCACCCTTATGTGTTAATTCCATAATAATTCCGTACATAGAGTATAAAACCTGTGGTGAAAAAGCAAAGCGTGGTGAGTCTCTGTCACCCAAATGCGTGGGTCGGTCAATGGGGTGATCATTGCCAACGAAACGTCAACATATTATCCGTCTCTCCTTCTATTCTTTGCGGTGACCAGCTTCTTCTTTGAAAATTGTGCAATTTTTTTCTGGCCCAATAAAAAAATTAATGAAACCACAGGACAGTATAAAGTATGTGAAGTCCTAAAACACTATATCAGGTCACATTTTTTTCTGTTCGGTAGAAGAATGGTGTTTCATGCCTTGGTCTGGGGTGAAGCGATGAATTTTTAACTTCTTAAACCATGCATGATTAACTACGAACCATAGTTAGGAATAAAAACAAAATACGACCTTAAAGTAACAATATGGACTTTTTCGGTTTGCTTACTTCACATTCCTTCCTGTATCCGCCGCTTTTTTTCTCCGAGAGGTTCCACAGTGTTCTACCTACTCAGCTGTGTGTACTTGGCGTCCCCGCCCTAAGAAGATGCGGGAATGAACGGCCACCCAAAATCCTGAAAGCCAGGGTGTGCTCTCCCCCTCATGCTGATGAAGGCGAAACGCGGCATGACCGTTTGCTTGTGTGGCTTAAACGAAGCGCATGACATCAGTTTCCCTTTTACCTTTTTACCTCTGCTGGCGATGATGTCATCTTGAGTACCTGCTTACAGTTGGCACATTCATTCGCTTTCTATGCACGCATGCGCGCGCGCTCTCCCTCTCAGGTCTCAGTGTACCGTAGAACTTTTGATTCAGGTCGATGGCACTTCAAAGGGCGCAGCACAGGTCCCTCCTCTATAATGTTCACGATATGACGTTTGGCTGCAAGCTGTAATTTCACATGTGCCATGAAGGCCACATAACCATAGGCCTTTGCGTTGCTTCAACACGCCTAATTTAGACTCTTTACAGAGAACAAACTCCCACTATGTACAGAAAGCGGGATTTTCGGGAAAAGTTATATAAAGACTTAATGAGTGGATGTTTAATTTCGGTGTGAAATAATACACAGTGGCGACTCTTGACGTCTGCGACGCGCTACAATTTGGAATTTAATATACCTCTTGAGTACTCCGCACACGGTTTCTGTGGTAAAAAGGAGACATATGATGATAACCCTAGAACTGGAAACGTCATATTTAGATGACTGTCCTGGCAAAAAAAAAAAAAAAAAGTGGAAAAATGCTTTAAAATTTTGACAAAAATGCTAAATGACATCTCATGAGTCCGAATGTCACGTGAAGACTTCAGTGTGTTTTGCTTTTTTTTTTTCACACAAAGGTCCTGGATGCTAAAAATGAGTCAGGAAAAATACAGTACAGTTCTTTTCATTTTCATTTTCATTTTTTTTTTTTAAACACAAAGTGCCTGCGCCATTTCCACGCAAACTTTCAGTCAAGAGTCTCACAACCACAAGACCCCCCGGGCTGACTTATTTATGATGAGCAAATGTGATTAGGTGACAAAGCATTTGTTCCGCAGACCGCTTGATTGCTCACAGATTGTAGCATGTCCAGCATGTCTCATTCTGAAAATGCCTGTGTGTGTGTGTGGTACACACACATGCACACACACATACACAGCAGTGTATAAAGTGGCGTATGGCTTCAAACTTCTAAATCATGTTTGGAATCCTGCTGGTGGCGCAACATAATTCTGGCTTGTTTCATGGGCTCTAACCAGCCGCAGACAGCACAGATTACTACCCAACTAACATAATCTTGGCTAAGAAAAATGGACTCGGACATGTTTCATGGAAAGGGGAGGGGGGGCGGGGGAAGGACAGCACATTAATTTCAGTGCCTGAAATGGAGTGTAATTTCAGTGTGGGAAAGATCGGGGTTTTCCTTGAAAGCACAACCAACCATTTGTGCTTCCTGGACAAGAATGAGGACAAAGTCATCCAATTTCCAAACGTTAAAGACATCTTTCTAATGAAATAAAACCTATGACGGCATCTGCCACTTCTCGCACTTAACGTGGAGCTTGCATGTTCTTTTTGTGCTCCCGTTTAAAAAAAAAAAAAAAAAAATTCCAAGAACTCTGGCTTCTTCCCACATCACAAACAAGAATCAATGTTCATCGGAGACTCCAAATTGTTGTTTGTCTACATGTGCCCTGTGATTGAATGGCGACCAGACAAGGGTGCAGTGCGCCTCTTGCCCAAAGTCAGCTGGGGTAGGCTCCAGCTCACCCGCAACCCTGATGAGGAAAAGCCATAAAGAAAACAGACATATGCTGCTTACCATAAATTAACCGACACTGGATTGGTTTTAGCGAGTAAAAAAAAAAAAAAAAAAAAAGAAAAAAAAAGAAAGAAAAATAGTGCCTGTGCTCACATCGTTTTTCAAAACTGCGTGTTTTCTGTGGTGATTGTCGAATTTTTGCGGAATTCAATTTTCTTTATGCTACGTTAATGTAATATGTTCATTTTCTATCGTGCTTGTCCTCACTAGGGTCATGGAGACTCTGGGAGAGAGGCGGGGTACTCACTGGACTTGTCAGCCAATCACAGATCTATTCCGTCAACCATGATGTGGAAATTTATGTTTTGATCCAACCCACCTCAAAATTATAGAGCTAAATTACCGCTATAGGATATTTCTATTTCTCGACCTCCAGTTTTATTTTATAGTATTTATTTAACAATCCCCGAACGTGTGTGTTTGCATTGAGTTTTACTTCACACACGTGAGGGAGCAAAACACCATAAACGTTCATCAGAAGCGTGCTGCGACTCTTGTGAGAATTTATTTCAGGGCTTTCACATATTTTCCAATACAAGTTTTAAGTACAGCCTATGATTGCTCTGCTTTTTAAATTTTTTTTAAATTTTGGTTTCCCTCATGTGGGCCCTTCCACACCCTTGTCGCGATAAATTCAGCTTATGGGAGTCACCATTGCGATAGCGGCGGAAGTTGGGCAGATATGTGTTTTTTTTTTCTCGCCACATGTGTGACCAACGTGGAAGCAAGGCTGCAATCTTACAGTGACAGAGCCAGCCAGCCTGCGTTCTCAGTCCCCGTCGCCTCCGACATTTTTTCATTTCCGATGTCTATCTGGCTTTTTCTCTCCTTCCCCTTGGTTTTTGTGGATATGCTGGCGCTTGCTAAAATGCCCGTTCAGTTCCAAGTTTATAGTTTATGTCTTAACGCATGAAGAAAACACGAAAGCCATATCTGGGCGAGCGGTTTCGTCAAACAGCCGTCTCAATGGAACCGACTGTTTGCATTCATAAAATGTTGATTTATGTCGTTTTGGAGGGTCTGGTTTTCATTAAATACCGATTGAAGAAAGTACAAGGCTTTACACACATTTGCCCTTGTTTGATGGACTCAGCATATGCTTTGTGGTTGTTTTGCCGAAAAGCAACAGAGGGTTGGCGATGAGGTGTTGTCCGATCGCCAAAGTCGATGCTGCACGTTCTGCTGCTTGCCTTGCAATAGCACTTTACGGAGATGAAGCTTTCATTGTTTCTGAAGTGGAAAAAGCACGCTGAACGACAAAGGAAAAAAAAAAAAAAAAGATTTCAGTTGATAAGCGTTCAGGCTTCGCACGACGCAAATTTATGCGGACACTGGGTGGCCCGGAATGAATGAATGGCACGTGAAATCTCAGTTTAAGAATGCTTTGATTCGTTTTCATTTCACTCTGTATTTGTCTGCTCCTTGATACCATACAGAGAGCTAGTTAGCGCTTTCATGCAGCAAAAATGAGAACCTGTAACCTGATAATGTGATAAACCGCCCACTCGAGTAACAGCTGCCCTTGAAAGAGTTAATAAATAAAATGACCAGTGCTGAGTTGTTCCTGGTTTTTTTTCCCGTACTTCCTGAAGTATAATAATTTGTGCTTCTAGCGATTTGCTAGTGTACCGTAGCATGGTAGAGGTTGTCCAAATACTAATTCAGTTCATCAACCAACATTTTTGCCCCATGCTGAGTTAAGTAGCGCTATTTCACACTTGAGAGTGATCATACTGAATTGTTCCTCAGTTTTTTTTTTCCGTACTTCCTGAAATATAATAATTTGTGCTTCTAGCGCTTTGCTAGCGCACTGTAGCATGGTAGAGGTTGTCCAAATACTAATTCAGCTAATCAACCAACACCAATTTTTGCCCCATGCTGTGTTAAGTAGCGCTATTTCACACTTGAGAGTGATCATGTGGTTGTTCGGCCCACACGAAGCAAACTGTGGAAAAACAAAATTTCTGACCTGTGCAGGTAGTGGACCCATCCACATGAACAGTGTGCAGTGCACGGGGACAGAACGATCCATCCTCGACTGCTTCTTCCAGGAGGTTCAACCGTGGACATTCAAACATAGCCAGGATGCTTCCGTGCGCTGTAACGTTCCTAAAACCGGCACAGAGTACACGGTATGAACAATACTGTAACACCGCCGTAACACACGTGCTTCGGCATTCAAAGGTGAATAATGGTAAACCTTGTTTTCCAGGTGCGTCTGGCTGGCGGCAGGGTGCCCTCAGAGGGTCGAGTGGAGGTGCTCATGGAGGTGGGCGGCCGCAAGCGTTGGGGTTCGGTCTGCAGCGAGAACTGGGGCATCAATGAAGCCATGGTGGTGTGCAGACAGCTGGGTCTGGGATTTGCTGCGAGTGCACATCAGGTATTCTGAAAGTGACGCCACATCAGTTCATTGTTGTGTCCCCCCCCCCCACCCAACGAAAGGTACTGGACCAGCGACCCAAATGCCGCCGAGCTGATCCTCAGCGGAACTCACTGCGTTGGCACCGAGTTCTCCATTCAGCAGTGTCGCCGTAACAACCACATGCACTGTCCGCGAGGCGGGGGACCGAAGGCGGCTGGCGTCACCTGCTCGGAGAGTAAGACAAACTTTTAGCTCCCTGTCTTCTGGCCTAAAGTTTCGACTATAAATTGGTTCACAGGTCGGCTCTAGCTGAGCAAATATGCTGTAAATCTCTCTCTCTCTCTCGGTCTGTATAAGGGGAAAACTCTAAGATTGAACTGTATCCATTTAAGGACAATGGATGATGTCCAATATTTTTTTAGATGATTAAAAATTTATTTTCGCATCGGACACTGTCATGTGGAGCAAGAGGAAGTCGCTCTGGGGTGGAATGAAGCACTTATGATGTAATGGGTACGCCATGTCTAATGGAGTAATGAAAGGTATAAAGTTAAAAAGCTGGTCCCTGGGGCAAGCAAGATTTGACAACATACAATAGAATCAATCGGGTCCTGGGTCATAAAATTAAAATGTACTTTTACAATGTACAATGTCGAAAATTAAAATGGAGCAGTTTTACATTCTTGATCTGTATACAAGTGTAAATACAAATGAACCTCAGTTAGTAGTGCAATGTAAGAAAAAAAAAAGAAATAATTCACATCTCTTAATTTGTGGGCTGCACGTTCTTTTGTAAATATTGCAAAAAAGGCAAATAAAAAACATATGGAGTAAATACGTAAAATGTGATCTTGCACGACATCAGGCTTGGAAAAAAAGTAAAGATTTTTTTTTTTGCACAATAATCAGGAATAACAAGGAATATTTTTCAAGAAATAAAATGCCCTAATAAAATACATTTAAATAACATTTAAAAAAAATGAAATTAAAAAAAATATAAAATACAATTAAAATAATCTCAAATAAAATTTAAATAACCCCAACATACAACCGGAATACTTCACATTTATGTTAAAATGACAAACATCAAATATTAACAATTCCAATATGATCTCTTGTCTCTGCTGCATTAGCGGCTCCCGACCTCGTTCTGGATGCCCAGCTGGTCCAGGAGACGGCCTACCTGGAAGACCGACCGCTCCACCTGCTGAGCTGCGCCAATGAGGAGAACTGTCTGTCCTCCTCCGCCGCCCGCATGAACTGGCCCTACGGCCACAGACGGCTGCTGCGCTTCTCTTCGCGCATCATGAACCTGGGACGCTCCGATTTCCGACCCAAAGCGACGAGGGAGAGCTGGACGTGGCACCAGTGTCACAGGTACCACATCCCAGCACGGGGTCATTCAAATGCGTTTGCAGAGCTTTATTGCAGTGGAAAGAATGTTTGACTATATGGGGGGATGTTGCGGTTAACCATGTGGTCATTTATTTTAGAGGCTCCTGGACACGGTTGAGTTGCCGTTTTGGGGAAAACACGCATTAATGGCCTCTGTGTGGAGTCATTTGCTGTTCTATTTAATGTAATCACCAGCCGGAAAGAAAACAAGCAGATTATGACTCGGAATCAGCTGGTAGCATGCAAGACCACCAGTTTAACACAAGAATCTTTGTCAGCTCATTTCAGCAGCTTTTGGTGGACGTCATTCCACTCCAGCACTCGGTTCCGTTAGGTGACATACGCACCGATAAAGACAATAAAGTCACGTTAATCGAAGCAAAGCAAGAAGTACGTTTATTTTAGACTTAACTCATTGACTTATACATCGTCGACTTACATAGCCGTCAGTGGCAGTGAATGAATGAATTTATTGGTGCCCAGTTTCTTTCTTTAATTTTTTTTTTGTATCTAATTAATGATTGTAACATTCATTATTAAATACGTTAAAAATATGATATTTCAAATTTGAGAACCCAATGGCAATTCATTTTCAAGTTTTGTATAAAAAGTCAATGACAGAAATCGACAAGTGTCATGTTAAATTGCTGTACAAATGCTTCAACTTTACTTTAAGCTTAGCTGTTGTTTTTTTATAATCCTAAAAATATGCTTTAAGTTTGATGTTGAATACGTTTGTCATTTAATTACTACATCATCATGCTGAATTTTCATCTTAAAATAAGGAAAGTAGACCACTTTAGATGGTAAGTTTGAAATTTAATTTTCAGCTAGTTGACACACTGTAGCGGTATATGGACCATGAGCTGCACTTTGAGTGGCCCTTTGATTAATCCCCGCCACACTCGCAACACCCCCCCTAAAAAAAAAAAAAAAACAAAACATTTACAAACCCCAAAAATGATTCAAATATGCTGATAAACATTCAAATATTGTCCACAGAAAACAGGGGTAAATGTGGCAAAAAATAAAAATAAAATCGTAAAACACCCAAAAGTCAATTATGTGCTCTGGCATCTGGGGGAATCCAAGCATATTTCAGGAGGGGCAGTGCCCCCCTTGTCCCTCCTCTAGCTACGCCAGTGTATTGGACCCTTAACAGCATTCTCAAGAAATGTCGAAAAATGCCTGACTATGACCTTTGACAACGAGTCCACTCAAAGAGCGGCCATATCTGCAACTTTCTGCACCCGGTCGCGTTCACGTACGTGTGAAGCGAACCATTTAGCGAAGTCGCGAGGGGGTACAAAGGACAGCAAAGGGTGCCGCAGGTTGTTTCGACAACACATTAGCGCTACGGACGCATCGTTCAAAGACCTCCTTTCAGCAAGGGCGGTGTAAACAGGCTACGCGACGCTGGCGCTAAAACAAGCTTCTGTGCGGGGTGTTCGGGTGACACCCACGCTCGTGTTTCACACAGTGAGGTCACGAGGCTACACGCCATAGGGGAGCAGTGTTCATTCAATGTCAAACGCCGCAAACAGAAATGCACGCTCAGTGGTCTACATACTTGGTTAACGTACTTACTGTAAGTAGATTTTTCAGGTTTCTGCACCTGACTATTTTGCAGTTTTGATTTGTAAACGGATGGGGACAGCGGGACCTTCGCAGATGTATTGAGACCAGTGGTTCTGAACATGGATGGGTTCGATCGAACCCGAGGGGTTCGACGGAGCCTCTGCCATGGAGGTTAAGACACACCCGACTCAACGTGTCAATTAGTTATGACACACCCGCTTGGCCGTCACTGGCTACAGATGATCACATGACATTGCTTGTGCAATCAGTGCTGTGGGAAATTTAGTTCGCTTTGTTGTCAACGTGTGACTGTCGTGATAGTGCGTCGTACAATTAAAAACAAACAAACTTATCTCTTGAAATTTTATTTACTTTTTTCTGTTTTTAATAAATGTGTTTTTTTTTAATTTCTTGAATTTGTAAAAACGATATATATTTATTTTTCACTCATGAAGGGTTCGGTGAATGTGCATATTAACGGGTTCGGTACTCTAAAAAGGTTAAGAACCACTGATTTAGACTGTTTGGGGTTGTTGGCTGGGAATTTACTGAACAGAGCCCTCTAGTCTGGTAGACTTCTGTAAATTGGCCGATTGCAAGACCAGCTGCTAAAAACAAGGGACGATTTCAAACGTTGAACCAGTGATGTAAAAGTTGACTCGTTGACTAATCAGTTCAAACTCTAATATATACCAATATGTTTTTTTTTTGTTTTATCCAGTTGCTGTCACAACTAATTTAGCATTTTTAAAGTGACCTAACAACATTGCACTTTTGCCATCTCTGTTTCTGACATGGTCTCTCTCTCTCATCTCAGGCATTACCACAGCATCGAGGTTTTCACACATTATGACCTGCTGACTCTCAACGGCACCAGGGTCGCAGAAGGACATAAGGCCAGTTTTTGTCTGGAGGACACGTTTTGCCCTGACGGTAATATTCACCACCGTTCCAACGCCCCCCAAATCCGCACTTTCCCATTAGTGGCAGGAAATTAATTTCAATATTTTAGCTGAAGCAGAGTGGAGGTTTACTCTGTGGTTAATGTATTAGATCGCCGCCGTGCTTGTTTGTTCACTCTCCATTTGCTTGTTATATCATGGATGAAATAGCTTGGGTGAAAAAGTAGCGTTCATAACAAAATGGTCTTTGCAAAATGGCAGGCATTACGCTAACTTTGATGACGATGAAGGGAATTCAACTGTTTTTTTTTGTTTTGTGCTGTGTGTTAGGTGGCCAAAAGCGCTTTTCCTGTTACAACCTGGGCGACCAGGGTATCTCTGTGGGCTGCTGGGATACCTACCGCCACGATATCGATTGTCAGTGGGTTGACGTGACGGACGTGCGGCCTGGAGATTACATTTTTCAGGTCAGTCGGCTTCTCGTCTACATACTTCTCCAACCCTGAACATGGTGAAAGTTTGGCATTTGCAATGATTTTAAAATGTGAGATCAGCCCCTCTGAATTTAATGCTACGTTCGAAAAAACTAAGGAGTCTAAAATTCGGAACCGCTGACAAGGAGGAAATCAGTCAAACAACATTTATTTACTTTAGGTGAAAAGTACATCCACGCTACATGAATTATTCACTCAACTTTTTAACCCTTTCTCATTTCTCAAAAATGACAATGGGTATTTCTAATTTCCTGGCAGTATCGAAACCGTTTAAGATCTCAGAAAGCTTGATGTTACCGAATAAATTCTGGCTGACTTCCTGGCGCTGACGATAATTTCTTCTTCTACTCTATCCTGCATTCTTCTTTTTCTTCTTTGGCAGCCGAACACAACTGATGTTTTAGCACCATCACGATATAACGGTCATATAATGGTCACGGCTACTACTCAAATCGTTGTACATTTGAAGAACTTCGAAATGTTTTTTTGACTCGTCTCTATATGCGGTCTGCGATTGACTGTGAATGTGGTGTAGAAAATGAATGATCGTACATACATGAGCGCCGGGTCGAATGTAATTTGCCTCACTTCACCCTTTCACGCACAAATAACGATAACCTGAAACCCGATAAGCTGTCCACTGCAGTAACCGCTGTCTCTGAAAGGGTTAAATTGCATACCAAATGCCTTTTCAGATTGTAAAGCGACATTTTACACCCAATGCTTCTCACAGGCTCGCCGCATTCTCTTGCTGGTTATATACCGTACGTCTATTTTCGTTGCGAACATCCCGACCTCCCAATCTAGCTCAACCATCCTCTCTCTCTCTCTCTCTCTCTCTCTCTCTCTCTCTGTCATTACTTGAGCCTCAGCCAGTCCAACAGGTCCGCGCTCATTTATGAGCGCTGGATGAGTGTCTCTGGAGCACGCCGGCTACAATTATATAGTGCTGTATGTGGAGGATAGAAATTAAAGTAAGAAATAATTCAGTCCTAAGGAGGATTTATGAAATGACTCAGCAAATTAGGCTGAATGACCGAAACGGTTTCCATTTAACGTTGCCGACTTGACATTTCTGACTTTTGAGTCGGATTCGGCGGTGACTCCCTCCGAGACGACCCGTGCTAATGAAACGTGCCAATTAAACCGAGTTAACGATGACCTCACTTGTCGCGAGGCTCCCCCAGTGCCTCCCCTCCCATTAGACAAGGCTAATTTGCCACCAAGGAATTCCTCCTGCCCTAACTTTTATAGCCACTTCCGAACCAAGCACCGCACTCTTTTCAGTGAATCAACACAACATCCGCGCTAAAGCCTCTCACGCAAAGCCTGCAACGCTAATTTACGAGGAAAATTACGATGGGAGTTGTTGAGTAAGGAGCCCCTTTTCAAATGTGTCTTAGTGGCGCGCTACACACTAAAACAGTGTCCAGATGACTAGTCTTGTAATTACTTTTGGAGCTGTCTGTGTCTCAATATATTGGGCTCGTCTGTGACTCAGACACATTTGTGCTCTGGACCACTCAAGACCAAAACTGCACGGGACAGCAGAGGTTGAGCTCGACTCATCATTTGCCATCATTCTTTTTAAAAGGGTACAAGGGTTGGATGTCTTCCATGATTTTACACATGCATGTTTATAAGACAGTGGTCCAGTGGTTAGCGCGTCGATCTCACAGTGCAGAGGTACCGGGTTCAATTCCAGCTCCGGCCTCCCTGTGTGGAGTTTACATGATCTCCCCGGGCCTGCGTGGGTTTTCTCCGGGTACTCCGGTTTCCTCCCACATTCCAAAGAACATGCATGGCAGGCTGATTGAACACTTTAAATTGTCCCGAGGTGTGCGTGTGGGCGTGGATGGTTGTTCATCTCTGTGTGTCCTGCGATTGGCTGTCAACTGGTTCAGAGTGTCCCCCGCCGACTGCCCGAAGTTGGCTGGGATAGGCTCCAGCACCCCCGGCAACCCTTGTGAGGATAAGCAGATCAGAAAATGGATGGATGGATGGATGCATCTACTCTGTGGGCCTTGTCATGTCTTTGGGCATTGCTTCTGCTACTTTGTCACTTTATCATTTTGCTGAGTTTGAAATGTGTCATTGTGGTAGTTTTGGCAACAAGTATGCATTCACTGTTCTGACTTTTTTTTTCCAGGAATAAAGCAAATTAAAGTTCTGTTTTTAAAATTATTTGACATTAGTGTCTCTGTCTCAATATATTGGGCTCGTCTGTGACTCAGACACATTTGTGCTCTGGACCACTCAAAACCAAAACTGCACGGGACAGCAGAGGTTGAGCTTGACTCATCATTTGCCATCATTCTTTTTAAAAGGTTCAAGTGTTGGATGTCTTCCATGATTTCACACATGCATGTTTATAAGTCAGTGGTCCAGTGGTTAGCGCGTCTATCTCACAGTGCAGAGGTACCGGGTTCAATTCCAGCTCCGGCCTCCCAGTGTGGAGTTTGCATATTCTCCCCGGGCCTGCGTGGGTTTTCTCCGGGTACTCCGGTTTCGTCTCACATTCCAAAAACATGCATGGCAAGCTGATTGAAGACTCCAAATTGTCCCCAGGTGTGAGTGTGAGCGCGGGTGGTGGTTTGTCTGTGTATGCCCTGCGATTGGCTGGCAACCGGTTCAGGGTGTCCCCCGCCTACTGCCCGAAGACAGCTGGGATGGGCTCCAGCACCCCCCGCGACCCTTGTGAGGATAAGCGGATCGGAAAATGAATGAATGAATGCTTATAAGAACCTTACAGTCCAAACAACAATGGCAAAACACACGAGTGTTTGAAACGTTCTTTCACTGAAGTCGCTTTACATCCAACTGAGTCACATTCCTGACATACTGTACGCGTTTCTTTGCAAAACTAATTGCCCGGCATACACATGACAGGAATTTGGGAAGACCGAGTGACCTGGGATAATTTTGACAACCCTTTCAACTGTATGGGAAATGTAAACCCAAAATGAAATTCATTCCGGTTTTATGACACCAGCGGTGGCCTCGGTTATTTTCTTTGTAGTTTACCGCCTTTCTGCCTCTAACTGTGTGTAACCGGTGTTTAAAAAAAGGTGGGGCATTTTTACAGAACGGCTATTACAGCAAATTACTTGTTGCCTTTATTATTTAAGAGAAAGGTCATAGCAGCAGTTTACAGAGTTGTGCTGGCAAATACCAAGGAATACTCGCGTGTGCCGTGCAGTAAGACAAGCTGTAACTGCAATAACTTTAGGTTTCATACTGCAAACATATCATTGCAATCAAACATATTTTGGAATAATTTGTTCCTGAGTACATCAGGAAAACTTAATTAGCGTACGTTTTAGAATACGTTTTTAACATTTTTAATTGTCATTCAAGTACAAGCATAATTAAAATGTTCTAAAATGACATTTAAAAAAACAACACAAACACCTCTGAAGCTAATGACAAATGATGACGTGGAACTTGTTTTTTTTTCGTATTGTCAAAAGTAAAATGTGAAATCAACTTCAAAGCGTAACACAATAAAAAGGTCTACCTTGGCTCAAAAGTGACAAATGGCAAATTTCCAGTTGATGTTTTGGCACAAGGAGGCAACGATCGAAAAGGTATGTCTGTTTTGTTACCGCCATGAACGCTACATTAGTGTAGCAACAAAGCTAACCAAATTCCCCACACATACGTAGCAACAAGAAAAATCGTCGATTTTCTTGTCTCGAAGTGTTGACGATTTTGCTTGTCTGACAGGTGGAAGTCAACCCCTCCATGGACATGGCCGAGTCGGACTTCATGAACAACGTCATGCGCTGTCGCTGCAAGTACGACGGCAACAGAGCTTTTATGTACGGATGTCACGCAGGTACGCACCAAAGTTTGTCCACTTTCACCCCCTCGCCCCTTCACGGCCACGCCGCTTTGTCACTTCTGACCGTCTTTTCCTCTCTTCAAGGCGACGCTTACAGCGCAGAGATCGAAGACCTTTTCGAGCACCAGAGGCAAATCACCAACAACTTTGTGTAGAGACACAAAAGCCTTGCGGACGCTGCTCGAAGTGGCCTGAGGGTGATGCCTCCAAGGCCCTTTGGGAAGCTGACAGGAGCAACGGCGAAGAAAATGGAAAAAGCTGCCTGGCTTGACAGCAGATCAAACGTCACATCGATGAGACTCAAGTAGACAGACCGACCACAAGAGCGGCTCATGCAGCTTTTTGGCTGTTAATGACTGTAGTTAGGTATGTTAATATCAATATATTGATTAAAAAAAAAAGGTGAACGTGGACTACTTTGACTTTTCAAAACGTACACACATGGAATTACTATTGAATCGGTCAACAAGACAACGGCGGAGTACTTGGGAAAGCTTGTACCCAATATAAGATGTATCGATAGAATATTGTTCTTTCTGTTGAAAATCGATCTGGGGGGCATTTTAGAAACACTTATTGGATCATTTATGGATATGAAAAGGTGCTTTGGAATTTTCCATCGGTATATCAGACAATGTGGGACAGTTATTTTTTTTATTTTTATATAAGAGTGAAATTAAGTCATTTATTCCTTGGCTGTAACAATTATCATCCCAACAAGTTTTTAGTAATAATTTTATGTAACAAAGCACTTTATCTTTTTTTTTTTATCATCAATATTCTTTCTTGTGCTCATCTTTTCAATCAGCGACCAATACCGATCAATCCAAAATATACATATATATCGTTTTTCTGAATACAGTGAATTATAAAGTTAGTGTTTTCATATGCACATGTACTATTTATACTGATATTTAATTTATTCAGAGGGCTCACGCAACATATTCAGCAAGAGGTTTGCTAGCTAGAAGTTTTTTTTTTCCTTTCCATCATCCGTAGCTGTGGGACATTTATAAGATTCAGAGGAATGATTCTATTTTAAATGTGGTTATTAAAACGCAATCTATCTATAAAGGCCTTTTAATTATGTCTGTTTGGTTTAGTTTTAAGGTTACGACGATAGCGTGTGCTTTGATGCACACTGTGGAACGGCTGCCTATAAAATTATAGAAAAAAAAGAGGCTGACATAATTGAGGAGGAAGAAAAAGATGATTCCATTTTTAGAAAAATCCGTTCAATTTTATATGAGTGAAGTCAGAATAAGAGAAACAAATTTCTGGAAAAAAAAGTTGCTTTTTTTTTTTTTTAAAGTCAGAATAAGAGAAACAAATTTTCTAGAAAAAAAGTTGCTTTTTTTTTAAAAGAAAAAGACAAGATAACTAAGATACATCTACGAAAATAAAATGGCAAACACTAACCAACGACTTTTCTCTCCAAAATAAACAACTTCTTTCTCGTAATCATAGTCTTACTTTCAAGCTTGACAGTCATTCAACTGCATTTTGCAAAATACTAATAATCCTTTGCTGAGTTTATCTTGTTATATAACAACGGCGGAACTCTTTATCGGTAACATCCTAACAACCATTTACAAGGAAATTGTGTAAAATTTAAATAAATCAATAAAACAATAAAAAGCACATTTGTCAAACTGTTTATGAAAAAAGGCAAAAGCAAGTTTCTACTCGTCGGACTCATCCTTCCCTTATGTTAGCGCTCTAAATTAGCCTTTCATTTGCTTCCAATTCAAAGTCAACAACATTACGCCAAACAGAAACAGGCAGACTTGAAAAGGACCGTTTGCTCTTGCTTTGTGCTTATGTACGATTGCTGTTTATTGTCTGTTCTGTGTGTTATTTAAAATTGTATGCGTCAGTCACGGGGTTCAATGCTCATCAAATGACTGGATGAAAACCCCCACTGTAAGTGTAGCGACCTGATGGCCAGCGAAGAGTGTGAGCCAAATGGTGCTTCTTGAAAATCTCTCCCCTTCATAAAAAGCTGAGCTCTCAGGGACTTGGACCTCATTTAACATGTCTCCATGTGATTGGTTGCATTTTGCTGTGATGCACACGCGCGCGCGCACACACACACACACAAACACATACATGCACACACACACTATGGTCACCGTCTGTCCCCCAGTTTTTCTTTCTCTGGTGCAAATGTATAAAGGTGATCATTGTATTTGTGCTCGAAGAAACACGGGATGATGAGTGTGGATAAACACTGGCTGAGTCACTTCAAATCACCCATCCATTCATTCAACATGACTGTGAATTAATAAAACTTCATTGTCATACACTAAGTTGCCGCCTGCTTTGTGTCTCCTTGCTGTTGATTTCCGCTGAAGGTTTTGTTCATTCGAGAGGACTTGCCACGATGAGGATAAAACCATTGTCGCTTTTCTTGCATTTTTGACCTTAGTAATATTACTAGATATTGATTCTTTTTTTTTTTTTTAATGAAAAAGAAAAATGTTATTTCACAACAAGGAAGTCATTTTGAGCTAAACTGAAAATTCTGATTAGAATGTAAACTTGTTGGTTTGGGCGTTTGGGGTTTGGGCGATTGGGGTTTGGGAGTTTGGGGTTTGGGCAATTGGGGTGATGGCAATTGCAGGGTTCCCACTCTTCCACTTGCTTTTTATTTATGGACCTTTTAAGGACTTTTGAGGGCTAATTTCACAATTTTTAAGGAATTTTTCTCCATTCAGCAGAATTGATCACGTAATCATCATCAGAACTGATCGGAGACGGCGGGAAAAGCAGAGCAGGAACCAGGAAGGCATGTCGCCCGACAGCGGGGTTTGAGGGGAAGGACGCCAGGCGCATTTTCTGACAAAACAATTAATTGGAAGGGTGGGGAAAATGACATACAGTACACAAATGAAATGAACACCACAGGTTAATTTTAAATGCTTTTTTATTGATTTTAGGAGCTTTCCCCGAAAATTAAGGACAATTAAGAACATAATTTTACAATTTCATTTTTTATGGATTTTTATGAACTTTAAGTACCCAAACCCTGGCAGGGTTCGATTCCGGCTCCTGCCTGTTCTCTTTGTGCTTGCGTGGGTTTTCCTCGGGTACACCGTTTTCCTCCCATATTCCAAAAACATGCATGGCAGGTTAATAGAACACTTGAAATTGTCCTTGCTGCAAGTGTGTCCGCTTATGGGTGTTTGCCTATGTGTGCCCGGCGATTGACTGGCAACTAGCTCAGGGTGTATACCCGCCTACCGCCCGAAGACAGCTGGGATAGGCTCCTGCAGATCAGATGGATGGATGGAAAAGTTTTTGTGTTTTTGCTTGTCACCAGGAAATTTTGACCATATTTAAGATTCCCTCGTGACAAGAAAAGTAGAGGCCAACAAATGTGCTGTTTTGGGCCCACAGCAAGCTGACTGGAAGTAAGTTGCAAGCGTGTGGCCAAAAAAAGCCAAACCCTTTCAAGCTGTTCACCTTCATCCTTTGCAAACAACGCCTTCCCTTTCCCGTCCGAGACAAGTCGACAGCTCGCCAAACTATTTGAGTAACACAAACACACTGAGTGTCCTGGAAGTGATGCCCAAACTGCAGCATATCAAACCAGGTAGAAAGGTGTGCGTCTGGGAAGGAAATGTCATCACCAAATGTTTGACTTGCTCTTAGTTGACAAGTCCACCCAAAAATAAAACAGAGCGTCTGTGAAGTGGTCTCTCGCCGACCGGGATGAAACAGCTGTTTGGTAAATAGGATGAAAGCGGAGCACCTGGGTCGCTCCATTTGCCCACCTCGGAACGAGCTAAACTTATCTCCAAACTGTCTGGAACATAGCAATAAAGTTGTGGACATACAAACGAGTCACATCCAGAGTTAAAAACCAGCCAACCAAGGCATGATTTACACTTTCGGACCGAATGCCCAAAAGTGTTGACCAGGCGTACACCAACTGGCACCAAAAGTCAACTGAATAAGACAAGCACTGTAGGAAATTGATGGACAGATGGATATCAACCATCATGGCAGATTGTTGTGCTCGTGTTTTGCAAGTCTGCCCACTCATTTGAAAGGTCCTGGGTTCGATTTTTGACTCAGGCCCTTCTGCATGAAATTTGCATGTTCTCCCTGTGATTGGATGAGTTCCTCGAGCATGTTTCACATTTCAAAACACACATTTTCGGTAAATAAAAGCTTCAAAATTGTCCATAGGATGTGAATGTGAGTGTGAATGGTTGTTGGTATATGTGGCTTGTATTTCGGCTGTCAAAGGTGTACCCTGTCTCTTCGCCAAAGACAGCTGGGATAGACAAGCCCAATCGAAGACGGATGAAGACAAAAAAAGCCGTAATTAACTGACCGCTGCTCAAAAAGGAGCTTGTCAACGCGTAGATACCATGAGCACTTAAAATAGAGAGGCTCATAAAACACCAACACGATGCATCTAGCATGTACACAATCATGAATCCCTGTTACATAAATGACTGTATTCAGTAGAGGTAACTTATTCAACACAAACAAACCATCTTGGCATGAGGCTCATCGAAGTAGAATCAGCTAGCATATTAATATTAGGAGCTACATCGGGAGAGAAGCAGAAACAGACTGTACCACCAGTACTACCACTTTTGAATGTGAACGAGGACTGACAACAAAAGAGCACACCTGAAACATGGACGAAAAAGCTCAGTCAATGAACAGAAACTAACAACATCGAGATTCAGCAAGATGGCGCCAAAGTAACATTTTCATTGCTACGCCCTGAGCACAAAATAGCAAATATCGTGTTTTCAGAAAATAACCGAGGATTCCTAGCCAGTTAGGTTAACCAGTAAAAAAAATTGATGGGTCGATGTCACTTTGTGGAGAAATGAAACTATGCCAGCAGCATAAACGTCAACCATGGTGGAATAGTGTCAGCACATTCCACCATTTTATATCGCATTCTTCATCTATGTTGAATTCATTGACTGCCACACTAGCCTAGACCAGAATCACAACCCTGCCTATACAGTCCAGATCAGGGTTTACTGATCTAAAACTGTATCACTTGATGAAACGTGACCCAAGACAACGGAATAATGAGCAAGTGTCACACATAAACACTCAACTTCGACGAAGCTCTTTCTTATTTGCAACTAATGTTTTTATTCAGGAGGCCCCCTTGGCCAACCCCACCCCGACCTGCGCGTTGGGGACCACAGTCAGCTCCACAATGGCGGGACTGTGTGCACGCTGTGAATGACAGACCTGTCCTTACAAGCTCCAAGGAACCTCCACCCTGTCATACAAACAACTGGGGTGCACGGCACGTTTTTGCCCTCATCTCTTTCGGAGGCAGTGTTCCATGCTTAGTATGCCACACAGGCATTTTGGGGTAGTGGCGTTCCGGGAGTGGATGGTGGGGGGCAGAGTTTGT